GCCCGGGCCGGGGGCCCGGCACCGGGATTGCAGGCCGCGGTGTTGCCCCCGCACCTCGCTCAGCCAGTGAGCGGGAGCCGGTCTGTATGTGGGATCCGAACCCTCGGACGGGAGCGCCTCCGCGCTTCCCAAGCGGCGCACTATCCAGTGCGCCACCGGGCCGGCCCCATACTATCTTTCAATTCTGTTTTTTTCCATAAACTTTTTGAAGTACCCTCGTATTGATCCACCTGATAAGCAAAGTTTTATGATTCAAAATAACCCTAGAATATTTAGAGAACTACTTATTTCAATTCACCTGGTATAATCATTAGGACTAAGGATATAAAACAATCACAGTAATAATTGATCAAATTTATGTATTATTGATTAGTGGGCATTAATGGAAAATCTGGGGAGGAACAGTGGCTGGATAAGAGAGGGGAGCCTTTCTTCAAACATTCTATGTAAGAACTGGGAAGGTCTTGGTTGGGCAGACTGCACCCAGAGTCATTTTCTATCCCTGATCCTGTCTTCAGAATTTCCCCCACTCTGACTCTCCATTCAGCCTTAACAATTCTTCTTCCCCAACCCCTGCACACTTTTATTTCCCTCGAGCATAATATAGGAGCAAGAACATAGGAGCAAGATAGATGTATTCACTCAAGAGTAAAAACACCTTATGAATCACTAAATAAAGGTAAAAAAATGAATCTCCTGTGTACAGTGCTTTTTTAAGAAATACCAATCACTCCTTCCCAACTGAAAGTGGGTGAGTCAAAAAGATGCATTTGTTGACATCTGTATGTATGTTTTTTAATTTCAGGTAATACTACTGGGACATGGACAGTCACTTAAGTGGGTTTCTTCGGAGCAAAATGGTATTATGGTAGAATTGCCACAGCTAACCTTTCATCAGATGCCCTGTAAATGGGGATGGACTCTAGCACTAACTAATGTAGTCTGAAGTGCAGCAGGGTGGCCCATGCTGCAGTTACAGCTAAGACTAGGAAATACCAGGTTTCTATAATTGTAGAATGTGGAGAAAGCAAATGTAAAATTGCTCAAAAAAAATCAAGTAATTGTTTACGCAGTTCAGCCCTCTTTTCTAAATTACCCATGTAAACATTTTAACTCTCCAGTGAACGTTGCCACTAAAGTCTCTTCACACTGAATTTGTTTCCATGTTTAACTCAGAAGTGGAGATTTTTTTGTTTTACAGCAGCTAGGAATTGGTGGTGTTAAGGACTAAATTGTGTTCTCCCCAAATTCTTTTGGTGAAGCCCTAACCGGTAATGTGACTGTATTTGGAAATAGGACTTTTGAAGAGGTAATTAAGGTTAAATGAGGTCTTATGGGTGGGATCCTAATCCAGTAGGACTGGTGTCTTTATAAGAAGGGGAAGAGATACCAGGGATGCAAGCACTCACAGGAAAGGCCATGTAAAGATGCAGCGAGAAGGCAGCCAGCTGCAAGCCAAGGAGAGAGGCCTTAGAAGAAACCAACCTGCTGACACCTTGATCTTGGACTTTCACCTTTTAGAACTGTGAGACAGTAAGTTTCTGTTGTTTAAGCCACCCAGACTGTGGTTTTTTTGTCATGGTAGCCCTACCATACTGATACAAGTGGTATGCATATAATAAACCTGACCAAACATATATTTCCAATGTTTCCAGTACTTGTCTCCTTGTAAAAAAAAAAAAAAAAAAAAAGTCTTTTTTTCTCTCGATTATAAAACTGATATATGTTCAATGTAGACATTTTGAAACATACAGAAATGCTCAAAGATAAAATCACCATTCAGATCACCACTATTAATATTTTAGTACATATTCTTCCAGTTTTTTGGGGGGTGGAGGAAGTGTGGAATTAGAGGTTTGGATCTATTTTTGTAGATGAGCTAATTTGAGGTCCAATTTAAATTCATAAATTTTGCTTACTGTATTTTCCTTCAAGCAAACAGGAGTTGAAAACCTAGTTGAAAATTAGGAAGTCTATTCAGATCTGCCCTAAGAATGAAACACAAATAATGATTTTGATCTAAATTTAAAGAAAAACTGATTAAAGAACTCATCCACCTCAACAAAAGGTGTTCATATGGCCATATCTTTATTTGAGGTGCTACAGGTTCCATTTTGACACATTAATCAAATGCAAACATCTCATTGTTTCCAAAAATCCTTCAAAGAGAGAGTGAAATAAAGTACTATTCATTATTTTTATTTCCTAAAATCATGCTAAGGTTGAAAATCTAAAAAAAATTACTCATTGTTGAAGCTCCTGCACCTATCAAAGTTTTGAAACCATGCCTAAGTGTTTATGTGGATAAATACTTTAGTAGTCCTAAGTCCCAGTTAACATTTTATTAGAGATCAAGTGTGCATAGATTTACATGATCCCAAACACTAGACTAAGAAAAACAAAAAAGGAAAACAAAATAAACTCAAACCAAACAGCATAACAGGAATCTTAACACAAAAGTAGGCTCACCTGTTGCTGTGGGTTAAATGTGTCCCCCCAAAATTCATTTATTAGAAACTTGACCCTCATTGTAAGAGTGTTAGGAGGGTGGGAAATCCAACTATGGTATTTGAAAGGTGAGGCCTTTAAGAGATTATTAGATTGTGGTGATTATGCCCTGGTGAATGGATTGGTCCATTCATGGAGTAATGGGCATGGTTCTGATGGCTTTAAAAGGAGAGCAAGTCAGAAGTTAACTCTCTTGCTCACCCGATTCTCACCCGTGATGCCCTGGTTGCCATGGGACCCTGTAGAGATTTCCCACCAAGAAAGCCCTTACCAGATATGGTCCCTGGACCTTGAACTTCCCAGTTTCCAAAACTGTACGAAATAAATTTCATTTATTTATAAATTACACAGCTTCAGGTATTCTGTAACAGGAATAATACATCTGTTTATTTGAAAAAAATATTTTTGAGACTAAAACCTGCCAACCACTTAAATTCCTACCCTGTCTATCTTTGCCTTTTAAAGTTGAGAATAAAGGAAAGGAATCGAAATGTTTAAGCAAATTATAGTTAGATATGGGGTTTAGTTAATAAGAAGCTATGAGGGAATTAAATGACAAAATATAGCTCAGCCTTCAGAGGCACTGATAGAATGCTTTGCCAATAATCAGACACTATATAAGAAAAGGTATGAGACCCCAAATTTAAATTTATTAAGGAGTATCTTGCTCACATGCAAAATATACTACAGCTGGGTCTCAACAAGGATTCAAAAACTCTCCAGCAAATTCTGAGTTATTTGTGGTATGGCGGACAAGAATTATAGTAAGGATAATTAAAAATCAGACCTCTCATTACCTATATTAAGCCAATAGTTTTTATCCTCTAATCAGTAAGTCCTCTTCCTAGAGTTACTAATGGTAAAAAGTGGCTTGTTTGAATTTCAGTGACTTTTGATTTATCTTTAATGACTAGAGAAATATTGAAGGCAAACCAAAGAACATTAGTAGACTGAATAATCTAGATGTTGATGTTGATTTTACCATTTTGAATATGGATGTCACTTTAATAAAATTTTATCTCATTTTCTTATGAGTGCCATATTGAAGCAACATAATTGCTCTAAAAAGTCATGCTATTCCAATAAATATAAATTAGGAGAGTAGAAAACATGACAGATGTTTTGCCTTCTGCTCATTTCATTTTTGTAAGAAAAAGACTTGGTTAGATAATAATCTTTCTGTCTAATTTCTAAACAAATATGTAAATGCTCATATCAAACTTTTATACATACAGTAACAAACACATTTATATAAGTTTGAAATAAAAAAAGTAGAAGCAGTTTTAAGTCATCTCCATTTAACCAACTCACTAGATTAACAGCTACTCTCCATTTCCTTGGAAAAGGATACTGACCGATGTCTAGGACAAGTGCAGGCTTTCAGTTAGAAGGCACACACCCTGCACTTCCATTCCCACCTGCTGCAATGTATGTTTACCAATGGTTAGTTGAATTTGTGATTTGTGGGTTGAACAGTGTTCTCCAGTAATTTATGTCCACCTGGAACCTCAGAATGTGATCTTACTTGGAAATAGTTTCTTTGCAGATGAAGATAAGTATTGATATAAGTTCATATTGGATGTGGATAGGTCCTAAATGCAGTGACACACAGAAGATGGCCATGTGAAGATGAGGCAGAGATTGGAGTTATGCTGCTAAGCCTAGAAATGCCTTGGAGCCACTAGAAGCTGGAAGAGACAAAGAAGGACTGGAAATATCTTCCCTAGAGTGAAGCTTCAGAGGGAGCATAGTCCTGCTGACACCTTGATTTGAGCCTTCTCATTGCCAGAACTATGAGAGAATAAATTTCTGTTGTTTTAAGCCACCCAGTTAGTGGTAATTTGTTATAGTAACTCTAGGAAACTAATACAATTACCGAATTGATTATGCCACTTGAACTTTTTGTCATGATTATACAAGTTGATGACGTGAGTGTGAAGAGCTGTAGTTTCTGTGAAAGCCAAGTTGAATACTTTGGAAAGACTAGGTAAAAGTGTGTTGCCTTGAAAAAAATTTTTTTATAAAAAAGCTAATGGTTAATTAAGTGTAGGCAAAATAGTTCTTAGAGACTTGGGGGGAAATATAGTAAAAAGCTACAAGAATCCTGCACCTCTGGTTCACTCCTATGTAATGTAGTGCATGTGATTTGTACAGGAACTCCTTTCAGTAGACATATACTGGAAAGTGGCTATGCTAGCCACTATACCACCAATGCCCCAGCTCAGCAGACCTATACTGAAAAGTTAGAAAAGGCTTGGCAAATAAAGAAACTGACATCCTAAAGTTAACATGGCTAACAATATATTTATATATGATATCCTGCTTTAAATGACTTTTTGGATTAACCAAACAACTAAGGGTTTCAGACAAGAGGATTCCTACTATACTATTAGAAGTCAAATTTGTAATGTCTAAGAGCAATTCACTTTAAATACATGTGGTTTTTACTTTGTCATCTCTTCAATTCCCACAACCCTACAGATGATCCTAGGTGACAATTTTCAGCTGATCAAATTTCTGTCTTTACAAGGCCACACCTGTTCAGTCTCAAATTTTTCCTGAATGAAATCCTGGGTTAGTACTGCTGGAAGAGATGCACACACTATTACATACACAATGCCCAATTTTCTAAAATGCAATTTTTCCTTCACCCTAATTAGAATAACACCATTATATCTGTCAAATTTTGATTAGAGGCATTAGCCCTCCTCTCCACTTTCATACCTGTTTTTTTTTTTTTTTTTTTTTAACATTCTAGACACAGATTCCCTAGCTGTTGGCTCCAGGCCTACCCAGGCCTTACAAGAGACCTCACAATTCATTTTCTACCTTCTATTTAGCTATATGTCATGTTGGAGGGACATAAATCGAGGTTACTGAAAATATATCTGATATATTAATGATACATAATGATTAATTTATTTCTGCCCTAATTACCCATCTAAATGCAGAAGTATAGATTTATGAGAGACAATGAAATATTTCTTTTTCAGAAGGTAATGCTATTTTTTCTAAACAAACATATTAAAAGAAAGCACAAATTATATTATCAGTTAAAATGAAACTTAAGGGCCGGCCCGGTGGCGCACTGGATAGTGCGCCGCTTGGGAAGCGCGGTGGCGCTCCCGTCTGAGGGTTCGGATCCCACAAACCGACCGGCTCCCGCTCACTGGCTGAGCGAGGCGCGGGAGCAACACCGAGGCTTGCGATCCCGTTGCCGGTCCCCGGTCCGGTACGGGGGCAACACTAAGGGTTGCGATCCGTTGCCGGACTCGGAAAAAAAAGACAAAAAGCCAAAAAAAAAAAAATAAAATAAAAAAAAAAAAAAATAAATAAAATAAAATAAAATAAAATGAAACTTAAAAACTAGCATGCTTTCTCTTCCAAAATAACAGCAAAATGCTTTGGGACAAATAGATTAATGGCTGAAAAATATTAACTCAAAAAAACCACATTTTACTAAAATAGTTTATTGCAATAAGATATTCGCTGTAATCAAAATCAATACAAAGTAAGTTATTAAAATTATTTACATACAAATGAATAAAACTATGTACCTGTAATTTATAATAGCTGTGAATAAACCGTGTCAACACAATTTTAGCCTCTAAATCAATATGTAAATTTCTAAGGTTTGTTAACAAAGCCTTAGAAAATATAGTAAAGAATAGTGAGAAAAAGTAGCAAAGAAAAAAATACCTGATCATAGTTGTTAAAATTCATTAATTTCTATAAGAAGAAAAGACCTCCATCAGGGTGTATTTGAGACAAATAATTTATTCCTTTGAAAGGTAAACGTAACTGGAGAAAAGTCTGATTCACTCCTGTTTACTGCAGTCCAGAGAACTTCATTAGTTAAATAGTATATTTTCCAAACTTTACACATCCTGACCTATTTACTAAACAGATTTTTCCTCAGCATTAATGTCAAAGTACACTGCATTTCACATTATATATATATTAAAAAGTATCTACATTAGTTTTTAGTTTGGAACTAATATCCGTGGTGTAATAAACTATTAACAATTCTGATACGTGCATTGTGTGTACATTTAGGTATGCCCACAAAACTGGTTGATGAATTTAAAAAAATATATTAAGATGCCAAATAAATCTATTTCATTATGAAATGTCTTTGATTAAGAATATATTTTTATTAGGCATTTTGGTAACAAATTGTCACTCTAGGTATAGGTGATTTGTTTAGTGTACTTTTAAAAGTAAATGAATCGCACCGTAGTTCTTCTTAAAGGAAAAATCATTTCTCCAGTTGTTGAGGGGTACTAAAAGCTTCGTACACATTAGCAGCGAAGTCTTTCACTTGTTCCATCATCAACAGATCCTAGCAAAGATGACAATATAACATTACAGTTTGTACAAAGTATAATTTGAGTTCATTTCTACAATCAAGCAATGAATTTAGCTCTAAGTTTTGTGGGAGATAAGATCAAGAAGAAAACCATTTAAGGAAAGGATTATTTTTTCTTATAATAAATTCTAGGAGATATTTATTGTTTATGTTCTTATATGAGGGATGATGGTATTATAAATAATCAAGTGTGACTTTGAGGAAAAAAACCCAAGACAGTCTTCAAATGTATTTTTGTGTATGACTAGTGCTAGATAAGTATCTGTTGAATAAACGATTATAATACTAAAGGTACAAGATTAAAGGTACTTTCGCTAGAAGGTGACACAACATGGTTGAGGTATATTACTTTCTAGAAGATCTAATGTAGTATGTGATTATTCTATGTATACACACATATACAAACCCCATACACACACACACACACACACACACAAACACATTACAGTAAGAGTTCTTGCCCCCCCACCCCCAACCCCAGGGATTTCTGAAAATAAAAATAAGAGAAAAAAATTACATCTTTATTTTCATTAACCTCTAAAATCTAGCATTTCTTTCAGTTATAAATGTAGTCAACAAATTGTGATAGTATTAGCAGGATGTGTGAATTTGTGTTCCACAGAAATCACAGACAATTCCTATCATATGACAGTTATGGAAGTTATCAGAACTCCCATTACATCTTGTTTAATGCATGAATAAAGAAGCAATATTGCTGTATCATAAATTTGATTTTAAAAGGTATTTTGAGGGCCGGCCCGGTGGCGCACACGGTAGAGTGCGGTGCTTGGGAGTGCAGCGGCGCTCCCGCCGAGGGTTCGGATCCCATATAGAAACCGGTCCGCTCACTGGTTGAGCACGGTGCGGGCACGACACTGAGGGTTGCGATCCCGTTGCCGGTCGCGGTACGGGCGCGACACTGAGGGTTGCGATCCCGTTACCGGTCACGAAAAAAGACAAAAAGGAAAAAAAAAAAGGTATTTTGAAAACTGTATATAATTTGTTTCCTTTAAAACATTATGTGCTTTATTGTATGCATTTATAGAATTACTCTAGAAGGGGTCCATAGGCTTCACTAGATTTTGAAAGGGTCCATGACACAAAAGGTTGAGAGCCTTTTCTCAATGAGAAACAGTTAAATTCTCTCATCAGAGAACTTGATACATTTAGTTTCAAGTATTCAGGACGGGTATTCAATGAAACATAGTGTATGGGTATTCAATGAAACATAGTGTTTCATTGTTTCTCAAATCCATGTTTCTCAAACCAGGATTTACAGACATACTTTAGGGCCCAAGAATTTGAGGGGAGATTTTGTGTTTTGCTTTCTAGGAAAATAGAAAAAGAAACTCAAGCACACTCTGGATCACTTCAAAATTAAACATATAACCTAGTATTGTACCTAACTTGGGGGCTTTTGTTTGTATTTATGTTTATGTTCTTGTTGGCTCCAAGTAGCATTACAACAGAGGCAGAAAATCTTTCAAATGAAGGCCAAATCATGTAAATCAAACAATACAAATAAAGGTTTCAGAAAACAGTAGATAAAAAAGTACCCAGCGAGTCAAGTGTACAAGAAGCAGGTAGAATGCCCAACAACATCAATAGGTCCATATTCACTTTGGAACAATGAATTTGTGGCCATCAGCCATATTATAGTAAGGTGTATTTGATTTTTCTAGTTTAGATTCCATTTAATGACAAACATGTTTTGGTTTCTGAGTTACAAAAAAGCTCTAAGCTTAAGGAGTTTATATAGTTTTTTTATTTATACATTAAAATATTTTAAACATTGGAGGTCTGTGGTTTCTTTTTCCTTTTTTTACTTAGAAGCGTTGTATGGACAAGCTGAGAAACACTACCATTGTAGTGCAAAGCAGCCATAATACATAAACTAATGGATGTATAACTGTCCTCCAATAAAACTTATAAAAACAGGTGGTTGGGGGCTGGCCTGTGGCTCACTCGGTAGAGTGCGGTGCTGATAACACCAAGGCCACGGGTTCGGATCCCATATAGGGATGGCCGGTTTGCTCGCTGGCTGAGCGTGGTGTTGACAACACCAAGCCAAGGGTTGAGATCCCCTTACTGGTCATCTTTTTAAAAAAACAAAGAAACAAACAAAAAAAAAAAACAGGTGGTTGGCTGGATCTGGCTCATAAGTCATAGTTTGCTGACTCCAGCTTTATAATAAGGACTGCAAGTCTGTTCAAGAACTGTTTCCTGATGCAGCTTCCAGTATATGTTGTTAGTAGGCTGAGCTAAAAATATGTATCACAGGGTTGGTTCAGACTATTAAAGCTTGCTCCAAATATTATTTGAAAGCAATCTGAAATAATTTGTTTCCTTTTGTTATTTGCAAGCAATTTGAAAATAATATCAAAAAGCAGGTTTCACAATTGTTTTCTGCTTCTTCCATCTCCTACCTTCCCCGGCTATAGTACCATCCTAATACCTTCTACCATGGGGATCAGCAAAGTGTGGCCTGCAGGCCAAATCCACTGCTGCCTTGTTTTTGTATATAATTTTATCAAAATAGGCCCATTCATGTTTATGTATTGTCTATGACTGCTTTCACACCACCAGAGCAGAGCTGAGTAGTTCCCACAGAGAATGTATGGTGTGCAAAGCCTAAAATATTTATTACCTAGCCTTTTTCAAAATTTGCCAACCCCTGCTCTACTGCATTCTTACAACAGGATCTCCTATACTTCAATCTCCTTTGTGATTGAAGTAGTAGCAGTAATGTGAAAATTAAAATTAAAATTAATTTTAAGTAAATCGACATATTCTAATCAAGGCAAAGGCTTTATAGAAGATAAATGGCAATAATAGAGCATAAGACAATTTATTAAGAAGACCACTTGGTATTTTAACTTACAGAAATTATAGTTTAAAAAACTGGTGATAAATAAAGTCTTGTCAGTCAATGGTCTACATATAAATTTAATCTACATCCAGTCACACTAAAAAACTTTACTAAACATTATCAGTAGTGTTTTTTACTAGATTGAGACTCTTTGTTTTTATTATAAATTATATAGATTTTAATTAAAATGTAGTACATAAAGTATATCATATGTCAGAGCCTGGAAGTTAAAAAAATTTTTTTTAAATGTTGCACATCGAATTACTTAAGCATTAAGGCTGATAATGTTGTTTTACGCTTGGTAGTATTTCCCACTTATCTGTTAAAATGAACCACTTACTGGTCAAGCCAGAGACTTCTACAGAAGTGGAGAAAGGTAAAGGTAAGGTTTAAATGCCAGGAGTTGCCACCTTTTCTCTCACAGTGATATAAATGTGAAGCTTAAATTTCAAACAAGATCAGCCTTATTCACTATCTCTTCTGCAATATGAAAGTCCAGCTCTTACAGGGGAGAACGGTGACATGGAAGACTGAAAAGTACGGGACAATATGCATGTGAAGGACGAGGTAAGGGCACTGTGGCGAAAGGAAGAAATATAACCCTCATCACAATGTTCTCCATGTTCCCAAGAGGACAGAGTCCACACAGAAGATACACCAAACTGTCTGAGTCAAATGACACTAAGAAGATGCTGTATTTACACTTAGGCCTTAGGGTCTCTTCTCACTGTACATTATTGCAACAATTTGCAATTGAGGTGAGCTGCAAGTAATTTTTTTTACTTAGTTTCCAGGTTCACAAATGACTCACACACACAAAAAAACCCTGCAGGTTCAAAATTATCCTGTTTAGGATAAGAATTCCAAATTCTTTCCTAAGAAAGAAGATGGAGTTATAGGTAGTCTAGTGAAATATTTAAATAACCCATTGTTTATGCAGGTTTTAGTGAGTAGATTATTGCACTATTCATAGTTAAAAAAATTTTATTAATTACTAAAATGCTTTACTTCTCCATAAAACTTTTTAGTTTTTCTCAAAATTTGAGAAACTGGATCATTGATCTGCCTCGAGTCTCAATCTTTTTAGTAGCACAGCTTAATGCAAAACATTAATGCTACATAAATTCAACTGATGACTAGAATATACATAGACTAAAATGCATTTCAACAGGTGTTGAACTATAACACGGGGAAAGATACTCTCAACTTTATAAATATGCTACGATATATTATTACTCTCATGGACATTCTAATACATTCTATATATGGTTCTGAATTTTAAGTTTTTTTGAATAAAAACCACAGCCAAGAATGTAATTTTAAGTTAGACAAACATGCCACACCAAGAATACAACTTGTTTTTAATAATACCCCCCAAACTTCTTACCTGGACAAAATGACTAGGTGTTTCACTGCAAACTGAATGGATCTGTCCATTTACTATCGGAATTATCTTAGCTAATGGCAGGCTGACACTGGAAAGACTGAAAAATCATTACAGTAATAATTATTTTCTGAAATCATCTCACAGGAATTTAACATTTTAATTATAAAAGTAATACGCAGTCATTGAAGAATACCTACAGAAATTTATTAAGAAGACAATATAACCAATCATTTTACCACCGAGAAATAATAACTACAATTGACATCATGGTTAATTTCTTCTGGTAATTTTTGTACATATCTATGGTTTATCTGTGTGTGTTTTAAACACAAAACTCTAACCTATCAAGCATACTGTTTCTGCATAGTATTGTTATGAACATTTTTCCATCTTATTAAAGCTTCTTCTAAAGTTTCTGATTGTCATTTAATTATTATATAGTAATCCATCCTCTAGCTGTGACAATTTATATTATCAGTTCCCTAGAGTTGGGCATCTAAGTTTTTGCCTAATTTTCCTTAATATAAATAACTTGGTATAAACAAGGAATTACTGGGTTAAAGGATATGAATGTTTTTAAGCTTATAATATATATTGCCAAACGCCCACCTGCTTCCCCAGCAGTGTGTAAGACTATCAGCTCCATTATGCCTTCTTTCTATATTGAACATTATCTTTTTCTTTAATCTTTGGTAGGTGAAAATGGTATCTTATGGGTTAAATCTGTATCTCTCTTAATTACTATCAAAGTTGAATAGGTTTTTTTCCCGGTGAACTACAGCATTATCTATCAGGCTGTACAAGTAGGAAACCTGGGCATTATTCTTGCACTTCCTTCTTCTGCCTTTATCCAATCAGTTATCCTAAATATTTCTTTAAAATATCTACTTTTCCTCATTGCCAACCTAGTCCAAGCTAAGCATGGACTACAGCAATGTATTTCTAACTTGTAAGTGCTCAGTAAACATTTGTTGGATGAATAAATGAATACATCTGCGTATGACTGTGTGTAATACAGTGACAAACGATGAAAGTATTTTTGTGTGTGGGTTGTAGTTTTAGTCTTGTTATGTTAAATATGACATTCCATACATTTCAACCTGGGCTACACTAAAAATTTCCTTTTGAATATCATGAAAATGCTGAAGCTATGGTGTCTAACCAGTGTGCTCTGCTGAGATTTGAGGTAATGCTTGAAAAGAAAACAGGAAGTGTGAAGATTTATGTATTCCTGAAGAAATCAGGCATTATTCTCTTTCATGGTACCTTTGAAGAACTTTTAAAAATCCGTTGCAATTTTGTTTACTTGTTTGCTATTTCTCCCCCTCACTATCATACAATCTCTGGGAGGTTAGGTACCATGTTTATCTTATTCACTGTATTATCCCAGCACATAGTAAAGAGCCTGGTATACAGTGGTTGCTCAATAAATACCTGTTGAATTGATTTTTAAAAATCTTCATTCATTCATTGCTATATCCTGCCCTACCCCCCACTTCCCCAATTCCTTCTTCACAAAGTAATCAAAGTGATCCTACAATGTAAATTCCATCATGTCACTCTCCTGCTCTATACTCTCCAGTGGCTCCCCAGTGTTCTCAGGATAACAACCAGCTTCGTCTCACACCACCCTTTTCCTAGTTCTGTTTGGCCACCACACCAGCCTCCTTCCAGGTCCTCACGTGTACCTTGATCCTCCTGTCTTCAGTCTTTGCCATATGGCTTCTGCCCAGAATGTCAATTGTCCCACTGCAATAGATTTTTTCTCTCCCCATCCAAAAGTGATACCATTTTCAAAGAGAGCAAAATTTAACTCGGAAATCAAAAGTCAACTAACAATTTATTAGAATAGTAAAAAGTCAGTAAATTGCTATTTTCAAGATAAATATATAAAAAAGTCAATGGTTTTCCTGAATTTCGTTCTCAAAACTGGTCTTTTCCTAGCCTTACTGCATTGGTTAGAATAACAGAATGATGCTGAACAAATATGTCAATACTTACCATTTTTATATTATTTCTGAACTAAATGGAAAGCAGTCTAGTTTTTTACTATTGATAATGTTTTACTATTTGCTTTTGATTTCAAATATTCTTTTATCATATAAAAGGTTTTTATTTCCAGTAGGAGATTTTATCAATAATAAATGTTAAGTTTTATTAAATGCTTTTTCAGCAACACTGAAAATGATGTTTTTGTCCTATTGACTTATTAATGTTATGGATTACTGTAATAGCTTTCCTACTGTTTTAACCCTCCTTGCATTCTTTTATTTATTTTTTTCTTTTTTGTGACCGGTAAGGGGATTGCAACCCTTGGCTTGGTGTCGTCCGCACCGGCGCTCAGCCAGTGAGCGCACCGGCCATCCCTATATGGGATCCGAACCCACAGCAGCTTCCGCTGTGCTCCCAAGCGCTGCACTCCCAAGCGCTGCACTCTCCCGAGTGCACCATGGGGCCGGCCCCCTCCTTGCATTCTTAAAATAAACCTTAATTAGTCATAGTTTTAACCCTCTTTGCATTCTTAAAATAATCCTTAATTAGTCATTAATAATTCTGGGCTCTGACATTAGACAGAAGTTATTGATTATGGATTACCATTATGGATTACCGTAATAGCTTTCCTAATATTTTAACCCTCCTTGCATTTTAAACCTTAATGACTCATAGTGTCAGAATCGTTAAAAATTCTGGGCTCCGATATTAGACAGAAGTTATTGAACACTGATATTAGACAGAAGTAATCGAGGGTTTACTACTTCCTAGCTGTTTGACCTGAAAGTATTTAATTTTTCTATGTCTTACAGTCTCTTCACCTGGAAAATGAGGAAAATACTAGTACTTATTTCGTAGAGTTATTTTAAGAATTCAATGAGGTGTGTTCCCCAAAATACCTATCATCATACTAGCACATGGAAAAAGGATTGGCTGCTATTACTGTTGCTATATATTTATGGATTTCATTTGCAAATATTTTAGTCAGGATTCTTACATCTACATTTATACCTTAAGTCTGTACAGTTTTCCTTTTTGGTCCTATCTTTATCCATTATATTTTCTATTGGGTTATTACTGGTGATAGAAAATCTTTTGATTTTAAATATTCACTATACATATATTAATATACACATATATATTATAAGCATATGTTATATATATAGCATATACATATATGAGGGCACTTCTGAAAGTTTATGGAAAAATATAATGAAAAGATAATACAAATCTTTCCATGAACTTTTGGAAGTACCCTCATATATTTGTGTGTGTGTTTGTGCATAATTTAAGCCTTTACTAGTTTGCATCATTTGTTAGTTGATACTCTTCAGGAGTCTGGATTGTTAATTGCAATACACATAAATAATAATACCTTGTGTCTTTGCCAATAGTTAAAAATCTTACTTCTTTTTTCTTGACTTACTATGATGACTAAAACTTCCCAAACATGTTAAACAATAGGGATGACAGTAGGCATGATAGAAATGTTTCCAGTGTTCAATCATGGAGCATGAAGTTGGTTATTAATATGAAAGAGAAAAATTTAGATAGGAAATATCTACCAAGTGTCTACTGTGTGTAAAGAGATATGAAAGTGATATAAGGTAATCTCTGATTCTGAGAGGAGGCTTAAAATGTCACTGAGGAATAAGACATCAATTCAAGGTAGCACATGTAGGTTGTCCATGCAAGTGAGGATAATGAGTACTATGGGAGCTCAGAAAAGGAGGACTATGAATGGTTGATATGGTTATAGTGTAATTGTTATAATTCTTCACTGTATAAAATCAAGTATTTATTCATGTTAAAACAACTATAACAATTCTTTATCACGGCTTACTTAGAAAATAACTAATACCTTGCTAGGTATAAATTATGGTGAAATTGTATTAACTGGAACACTTTGATTTAGACAGTACAGGTCCGGAGCTGAAATTATTTTTGTATAACTTAAATAATTTCTAAAAAATATTTTAGGGTAATATTTAAATTGCTTCGGAAAATAAACTTTATGGCTCTAACCATTCCAAATGCTCAATGCTACTGCCAAGTTATTCTTTTCTGTGCAATAAAGAAGGGACCCAGAGAATTGGGCAAATAATCTCTTGCCCTATGTATTTAACAATTAAATTGGATTTTGCACATAGGAGGATATTCAAAAAGTTCATGGAAAATGTATATTATGAACAAACTATGCAAATTTCAAAATTTTTTGCACCAAAATAAAGTTATACTAACTTGTTACAACATGTCTGAACAAGATCTAGTTTAAGGCATTAAGAAGGATCAGACCACGGTTTGAATAGAGCCCCTATCAGAGCAACACGAATTCTGTTAAAGCTAAAGCAAACACAAACATCAAATTTATGGTGAAGCCTGGGTAGAAAAATGGTGAAATCACTGATGCTCTACAAAAAGTTTATGGGGACTTGCCCCAGAGAAATCTGCAGTTTATAAATGGATAATTTGCTTTAAGAAGGGACAAATTGATGCTGAAGATGAAGATCATAGTTGGTAGACCATCCACATCAATTCACAAGGAAAAAATTAATTTTGTACCTGACCTAATTGAAGCAGACTGATGATTAACAGCAGAGAGCCAAAACCATAGGCATCTCAACTGGTTCAGCTTACACAATTCTGACTGAAAAATTACAGTTGAGCAAACTTTCTGCTCAATGAGTGTCAAAACTGTTGGTTCCTAGATTAGCTGCAGATAAGAGCGGAGCTTTCAAAGGAAATTTTAAACAAGCAGTATCTAGATCCTGAAGCAGTTCTTTGAAGAACTGTAACAGGAGATGAAACATGGCTTCATGAGTACAATCCCAAAAACAAAGGATAATCAAAGCAATGGCTACCAAGAAGTGGAAGTGGTCCAGTCAAAACAAAAGTGAACTGGTCAAGAGCAAAGGTCATGGCAACCATTTTTTGGAATACTCAAGGTATTTTGCTTATTGACTTTCTAGAGGGCCAAAGAATGATAACATCTAGTTATTATGAGAGTGTTTGCAGAAAGTTAGCCAAAGCTTTAGCAGAAAACCAGAAAAGCTTCATCAGAGAATCCTTCTCTATCACAACAATGCTCTTGCTCATCCTCTCATCAAACAAGGGCAATTTTGCAAGAGTTTCAATGGGAAGTCATTTGGCATCCACCTTACAGTCCTGATTTGGCTCCTTCTGAATTCTTTTTGTTTCTTAATCATTTAAAGAGTACCCACTTTTCTTCAGTTAATAATATAAAAAAGACTGCATTGACATGGTTAAATTCCCAGGACACTCAGTTCTTTAGGGATGGACTAAATGGCTGGTGTCATTGCTTACAAAAGTGTCTTGAACTTTATGGAGCTTATGTTGAGAAATAAAGTTTATATTTCTTATTTTTATCTTTTAATTCCATTTTCCATGAACTTTTTGAAGTCCCCTGGTACATACTGCATATCAATTACTGTTTCCCTAAATTTTAACGAATGAGACTATAGTCACTCAACACTGATTTAGTACTCATTATTCTGAGTCTGATATAAAAAACTACAAAATAGAGTTCCTTAAAGAGTGTAAATTCTGAGACCAATGGTGCTCATGTTGAGATGACAAAGGTATAATAAAACTGTAAGACACCTTCTGGCAACATGAGTCCATGACTTAGTAATAGTTATGATTAAAATGACTAACAATTGCAGTAACTAAATATTTCCAATACTATAATAATAATTGAAAATAAATATATATAAGGATTTGTAGAACTATAAGGAGATAATTTATCAAGTGGGAATCTACAACAAAAATACCTGGTTGTTATAATGATTAAAGTATTGAATTATGTAGGCCAATAATGGCTTGCAGTACTGGAATAGTATTTGAGAACACATGAAAATTTAAATACATTGTCAGGTTTGTATTCTAAAGAGTTTAATTGGAATTTGGCTTATAAAAAAGTGGTTTCTCAACTTAAGTACTTCAATATAGTGGCAACATTTTTGGAAAAAATACAAGTTTTAATATTGAATCCAGAAGAAGCTTCTGCTAATGAAGAAGTCAATTTAATTTGTTGAAAAATGAGGCTCTCAAATGTATTCTCTAAGATTTCTTTTGTTACCTGGAACAGAAAATATATACATCAAAAGCATCATTTTTTTTTTACAGCATTCATTAGTATGATAATATTTTTATATGTCATCTTACCTATCCATTGAGTTATTACCATGTTGCAGGTCTTGTTCAGTAGGTCGAAAGAACTCAGCCATATTGTCTAGAAGTCTGCTAAAACCTCGGTTTAAACAGGTATTCAAAACTGTACTAAAATCTGGACTATATAAAATAAGAAGTATAAGTTACTTTTTAGATTCTCAATGGAAAAGAAAACAAATTTAATAACTATGCGGTTATTTTTGAAAGCTACCAACATTTCTAGTCACAATCTAGTCTTTATGGCCTAATGCACTGTAAAAATACACCAAGTAGTCAATCTTTAAAACTTAAGCATAAAAAAATGAGTTTATTATTTAGCACAACACAATGAGAATATTCACCTTTTCTGCTATATCTTCTGTCAGCCCTTTGTACAATGTATTTTTTAAAATATCAATACTAGTATTATTTCTCCTGAGGAAACTCTTGATTCCTCTTATAGTCACAGATTATTAATCTGCTTTACATACTCTATCGTGACATCTTAGAAAGATAAAAAATATTACAATCATGTACAGATGAAGAACTATATATTTGAGGGATGAAGATACTTGCCCAAAGGTATGTAATTAGTAAACGGGAGAGGTTGAATTTGAACCCAAGCCTTTTTGATCTTAAGTTCAAGCTCTTTTCCTTATACTGTGTAAGTACCTCACAAAAACTCTGATAAAGAATAATATATGAGTGCTATGAAAGTTAGAAAATGCCTAGTTATGTTGAGCTTTTCTTTTCTCAGAGTGTGCATATGTGCGTGGATATCTGTTTACTTTTTCTCCTTAGTTTTCTCTTTTTAAAAGCATTTTAACAACTTTACTGAGGTAGATTTTAGGTACCACAAAAATTCACCATTTTAAATGTCCCAAAGATTTTTAGTAAATTTACATAGTTGTGTGACTATTACCATAATCCAACTTTAGAACACTTTCATTGCCTTTTTTGCCCATTTGCAGACAATCCCCAACTTACCCCTAAACCCACTAATCTACTTTCTGTCTCTATAGTTTTCTAGACATTTTTTTGTTGTTGTTTTGGTGGCTGACCAGAGTTTTTTGGACATTTCATAGAAATAGTCATACAATATGTGATCTTTTGTGTCTGGCTTTTTTTTACTTAGCATAGTGTTTTTAAGGTTCATCTATGCTGTAGCATGTATCAATGATTTCTTCCTTTTTATTGCTAAATAAGATTCCAATATCTGAATATATCACATTTTATTTATCCATTTATCAGCTGATGAGCAGTTGGATTATTTCTACTTTTTGGTTATTGTGAATAATGCTGTTATAAAATTTCTTAACAAATTTTTGTGTGGACAAAGGTTTTCATTTCTCTTGGGTAGATACCTAGGAGTGGAATTGCTGGGTCACCTGGTAAATTTCAGTTTAACTCTGTTGTCTTTCAAAGGGAATATGGTAGAGTTCAAAGAAGAAAAACAAAATGATTATAAGGGGACTGAAATTGAAGAAATGGAAACTGAGGAAAAGAACACGGTAACTACTTCATAGGGTTATTGTAAGAATTAGATGTATTAAAATATGTAAAGTAGTATAGAACAGTGCTTGGAGCATAAGTGCTCAAAAATGTTAATTTCTATTCTTCTCATTGAATTAGATTCATTTAGACCAATGAAAGAAAGAGTAGCTTTTTGAAATAAGTGATCTTGTTTCCTATTTCATACACACAAAAAATAGAAGCAATGAGAACTTCCACATACTTGTCCACATCTACTAACTTACATGCATCTGTACCTATTCTTCGTCATCACTCCCTGACTCCTAAAACCAATCCTTTTACTTAAGATTCCTTTCCTTATTTCTTTCTGTTATTCAAGGCTCTTTGTTCTCAAAATTATCCTGCCTTCCTACATCAATTTCTTCCTCTACCAATTCAGGTCAATTCAGTAAATACGTATTTAGTATCGATTATACTCAAGGCACTGTTCTAAGAGCAGAGGATTCACTGGTGAACTAAGCAGACAAAAATTACTGATCTCATGGAGTTTAATCAAGTAAAAAGGTGTGTTTGAAAAATGCTTAAAGGGCTGGCCTGTTAGCTCAGTTGGTTAAGCTGAGTTATAACACCAAGGTCAAGGATTTGGATCACCATACTAGCTAGACACCAAAATATAAATAAATAAATAAATAATGCTTAAAAAACAAAACCAAAATCTCCTAGATCCCATATTCCCCTTCAAATACAATCCCATTTCTCTGTACCTCTCAAAGCAAAACTTCTTGAAATAGTTGTTTATCCTCACTGTCTCTACCTTCTCAACTCTAGTTCTTTTGAATCAGATTTTCTTCACTGCTCCTCTGAAAGTTCTCCATAAGATCACCCAACAACTCCATCTTGATACATCTGTTGTCATTTCTCAGACCTTACCTCATTTGACCTTTCAGGAGCATCTGACCCAATTAACTACAGTCTACTGCTTGAAACATTTTCTTCAATTCTGTCCCAGAACACTTCCCTCTTTTAGTGTTTCTTCTATTTCACTGGCAGCTTCTGGTCAGTCTCCTTTGCTAGCTATTCCTCCCCTTCACAAATTCTAAATATTGGAGTGCTCTATGACGCCGTCATCCTTTAGCTTCTATTTCTTACTGTCTCTATGGGAAGAACTCATATACTCGTACAAGTTGATAACTCCCAAAAATTTATATGTTTATCTGTAAACTAACTCTTGAATTCCAGACTTGCATATTCAATTGCCAATAGACATATCCACTTGGTATCTTATAAACGTCTCAAACTTGGGGCCGGCCTGATGGCGCACTGGATAGTGCGCCGCTTGGGAAGCGCGGCGGCGCTCCCGCCCGAGGGTTCGGATCCCACATGCGGACCGGTTCCTGCTCACTGGCTGAGCGAGGCGCAGGAGCAACGCTGAGGGTTGCAATCCCGTTGCCGGTCCCCGGTCCGGTACGGGGGCAACACTGAGGGTTGCGATCCGTTGCCAGACACGGAAAAAGTCAAAAGACAAAAATAAATAAATAAATAAATAAACGTCTCAAACTTAACATGGCCAAAATATAAATGGCAATTCCTATTTCCTCAGTTGCTCAGCCCCCATACCTAGGAGTTATCCTTCCCCCTTCTTTCATAACTCACCCCAAATAATTCAGCAAATACTACTGGTTCAACCTTCAAAATAAATCCACTATTTATTTAACTGCTTATCATTGCCACCACTGCTACCACCCAGTCCAAGCTATAACCATCTCTTGCTTAGAGTACTTCAATTCTTGAAAAAAGCTCCCCTCTTAAATTTCTATTTATTTATAGTCAATTTACCATAGAGCAACAAGAGAGATCTTTTATAAACAGAAACTATGTTATTATCCTGCTTAAAATTTTTCAATAGGTTCCCATAAATCTCAGAATAAAAAACAAATTCCTTACCGTGGACTACAAGGTCCAACACACTCCAGTCTCTACCTATTTCTTCACCCTCATTTCCCCCTCACTCTTCTAGTTCACTGTGCTCCAGCAACACTGGCCTTCTTAATATTCCTTGAACAAGCCAAACATTAGGATCTCTGGAGCTGTGCTTCTGCCTTGAACTGTATATTCCCAGATTATAAGGTTCACATCCACAGGAGAATCATGTCTCTGCTCAAATGATATCTCCTCAAAGAGCCCTTTTCTGACTAACCTATCCAAAATAGCATCCTTGGTCACTCTCTAGCCCCTTAAACTGCTTTGTGTTTTATCAGTGAAGTTATAAATACTTGACATTATATTAAATTTAATAGTTTGTTTTTCTCTTCCACTAAAATGTAATTTCTAGGAGGGCTGACAACCTAGCATCTAAAATACTACCTAATATACCATATATGGTCAATAAATATCTGATGAATAATTCAGTGAGATAGATGAATAAACACATTTGTTCTATCTTTGATATGTAGAAATCTCAAATCAAAACCAGCTCCTGAGAGTGGAAGACTAGGGCTATAAGTTTGGGAATCATTAATATACAGATAGTTAAAGCAATGAGAGTATATGAAATTGCCTGGGGTGGTTAAGGACGAAATAAGAAAATATATCTGGGAAACTAATGTTTAAAGGAAAGACAGAGGAACCTAAGAAGAAATTACCTGAGAGTTGGGAGAAAAATTAGGAGATTACATGGTCATGGAAGCCATGTGAGAAAAAAAATTTCAAAAAAGGCTTGATCAACAGTGTCAAATATCAGAGAAAGCAAGTAAGATGAACATTATGGTTTCACTGGATTTGGCAAAAGATCACTGATGACCTTTTCCACAGCTTAATGGAGTGATTTGTTGGAAATCTGAATAAGAAAAAAAGTGGAGATCGCTACTGTAGAAAGACAAAGAACTAAAACTTGATGAATTCAGACAGTAGATTTAGTAGCTGAGTTAACCTAAAAGCCTGCTAATTTTCTTCAAGGTTATGAAAAACTTTTATTAGGAGGGAATAGCACTTCCTCAGAAAATGGAACTAGAAAAAATAGGCTTTAATTCTTCCAAGGAGGCATACAGTATCTTTAATTTAAAAGGGACCTTGATATTTTCATCACTTAAGATGAAGTGGATAGGACAGGTACTACTACTTATATTTTATAATGATAAAATTACCTCAAAGCATTTAAATGGCTCAGCCAAGGCTGAATAGCTAATAAATGAACATAAGTCATATGGTCTTCTAATGCAGTCTTGTACTTTTTCCATTTTTAACACCCTGGTTCTCTTTTGGATGATTTAAAATAGTAATACTTAATTTAGGGAAGATGTGAAATTTTTATCACTCGAAGCTTTTAGGGACATTGTAGACTATCCTAAAAGGTTTGGGGCGAGTTGTTCTTAGGATGGAATGAGTGTGTGTGTGTGTGTGTGTGTGTGTGTAAGTGTATACACGAGCATGTGCAGGTACAGATGCATACATGAGAGTTAGCTATAGCTGGCTAGTGCTGGCTCGAAAAAGCAACTCTTCTCAACTCCCCAACTTGGCATTCAGTGACTTCAATTTAGCTTGAGATTTGCTGCAGCTAAAATTTCAGTTTCCTTTTCTTTTTTTTTCAGATCTAGTTGTTAAACATGCCAGAATTACTCTGGAAAGCCTTTTTCAAAATACAAGCACTAAGTACCTTCCAGATCCTCAACCAGAACATCAGAATCTGCAGGCTAGGGAAGTGGGTGGGCAAGGTATGGGTATCTTGAAAAAAAACCCTGCTTACCTCCAGTTTAGATAGAAAATCCTACTTAAAGGTAGTGGAATAGATTCAAAATTTATTTTTAACACGATATTAGGTTGTTAAAGAAAAAACAAAAAATGGTCTTAAGTAAACTCAAAATACAAACACATTTTTCCTATTACATGCAGTATACATACCTTTCCAACATGTCTCTAGTTTCATTGAGAAGTTTAATAGTGGTAACATCTCTAGGAGAAAGCCCACAGGCCTATAAAATTAAAATACCATACTTCAGGGTTTCAAAAATTAGCACAGGGTCATGATGAAACCAATCACATTCATAAACTCAAGAGTTCAGGAAATCTGAAAGTCTGTGTTCTATCAATAATCAAAAATGTTAAACTAAAAAAAGCAGTAAAGGTTTATGTGAATAGGAAAGTAGTATTTAAAACATGAGTCAAAGTAAAATTATCCTTTGTAAGATCTTTGTTTATCTGGCCCTTCTTGGCTAGATTTCTACTATATACAGACAAAGAAAAAAATAGGCTTTGAGATTGCAGAGGTCTGGGTTTTTTGTTTTTTTTTTTATTCATTAGGAAATTTTATCAAGATATATGTGTGTCTTTTTTTCATCACTCTAGTCTGAGGCCTGGTGTGTCCTTTTATTCTGAAGTTTCAGGTTTTAATTCAGTTCAGTGAGACTTGGCTCATCATTCCTCTTTTCACCTGTTCCTTTGAATGGTTTTCTTTTTTGGTTCTGCTGTTATTTGTTCCAGAAAGCTTAATACTCTTTTTGTATCTCTTTGAGATTCTATGAGGGTACTTCAAAAAGTTCATGTATTCATATTATCTTTTAATTCTATTTTTTCCATGATCTTTTTGAAGTACCCTTGCACTTTCTAAGTAAATTTTCTCCTGTTTCTTTCATTAATTCTGTTTCATCTCTTCTGCTTGTTCTGTTTAGCCTCTATCCTTCAAGTTACAGTGTTCCCTTAAATGGGATGCAATTTTTTTTTGCCTACTCATATAGACTCAAATATAGGGTATCTCAGCATCCAAAGAGGTTCATCTTTTGAGTCTCTAGGGCAGGGGAAAGATGCAGGCAATGAAACCATGACATTCTTTTCTAATAGGGCCTCCATGAAGAGGCACGGCATGGGGCCTGCCTCTCTGTTCTAAGGCTTCTCCAGTTGTTGAGAGCTACTCTTCTTCCAGTTGCAAAGAATGGGTGCAATTCAGCTGATAAATGAAAAACTATGAATATAAAAATGACCTACATAACCTGCAATCTTTGATATTTTTATTATTCTTGATCAATGAGTAACCTATGTGACAATTGCTCAGGATACACCAGGGTGTAGCAACACCAGAGTTGATAATTGTTAGATTAGGCCTTGCTTGTTTCTCAACTGGATTACTACATCTTCCCTCAGTCCATTTTTGTATTGCCACCATTTACTTATTTTAAAAAGCAAATGTGATTGTGGTACCAGTCTAATTAAAACTGATCTTTCTTTGTCTACAGATTTAAGTTGAGACTCCTTTACCTTCTCATACAAAGCTTTTTATGGTCTTGCCCCACCTTCAGCTCTGTGTTCTGCTACTTGATCTGATATAAATATGCTCTAGCAGTAATTTGATTTGTCTCCTGAGTTCCCCAAGTGTATTGAACATGTCTTATTCATTTTATATCCACATCACATAGTGTCCACTGTCACATAACTAACACTCAATAAAAATGTGCTGAATATCCAAAATTATAAGTGATTCTAACTAGAAATCAGCCATATTTGCAGTTTATTTTCTAAATTAATGAGATTTTATTTCAATTATTGAAATATATGTTTTTCAATCACCTTTCAAAAAGATTCAGAAATCAACATTTAAGAGAGAGTAAAAAACATTTTAAATATAGAATAACTGGTTTGGTTAAATAGTTATGAATTAAGCACCTGAACTGCTAATGGAGTTTCTTCATCTGGCATCATATAATGGCATAATAAAGATTTGGATCCATCTTTATTAATCCAAGAAGAAGATTTATGCTGCTCAACGAGATTTCTGATTTCTTTTAGTTTTTGCTCCAAGTCCACAAGGGACAAAGAATGTTTAAGAGAAACACTAGAAATAGAGAAAAGGGAATGGGATAAGTTGACACTACACAATACATCCTATACACATTCTTTTCTTAACAGGTTACTATCTGAAATCTTGTTTCATCTGGTCAAATGTTAAACTGCTGACTGGACTAGAATGGATTAAGAAATCAGCCATCAGTTAAGGGCCATTACTACAGAGCCAAGAAAAATCTTGCTACAGATTTCACAATAAAATTCCTATAGTAATTACAGATATTACTAGTATAAGTGGGAGGTAAAAGCCTCAGAGACAGATTTTAAAGTAGGTCTTTTTTCTCATGACCCAAATATTTCTGGTTTGTTTAGAAATCAACCAATAAACAAATTTTCCCCTCATGAGCCGGCCCGGTGGCGCACTCGGTAGAGTGCAGCGCTTGGGAGCGCGGCAGCGCTCCCGCTGAGGGTTCGGATCCCATATAGGGACTGGTCCGCTCTCTGGTTGAGCGTGGTGAGGGTTGCGATCCCATTACTGGTCACGACAAAAGACAAAAAGGAAAAAAAAAAAAAATTTTCCCCTCAGTATCAACAGGTTGATACTGATGAAGAAAATGAATTCCACAATGCAATACCCCAGGGCAATGTTCCTGCTAGCCTACAAAGAATTTCACAAATCATTGTCTGTCAAGTCACCACATTCACTAGAACAATCCTAATTTTTCTTTCATTCTTCAGAATGGACAAGTCAGAAAAGTCAATGAAAAATGCCTTACCTTCCTAAAACCTTCTGCACAGCTTGTTTAATGATAGTGATCAATTCTGTCAGGCCTATTAAGGGAAAACAAACTGAAAAGTCTAGCTTTTTAAATTCCTCAACAATACAAATATATGAATTAAAATAAGCATACAGGTCACAAATAATAATCTTACCATCTCCAAGAAGGTGTTGAATACTTGATAAATATTGCTGTTGGACATCTGGGGGAGCAAGAACTGTCTGTACAAAATAAAAATAAGGTTAAATTATCCAAGTTTTTAATTAGTAAATCAGTAATATTTTAACTATAACTTGAGCTGAGATTTTTAGGATCTGAAACAATAGAAAAAATAATATTCTTTAACATACCAAAAAGTCTAATTTCAAAATATGAAAAATAATCACAATGCTAAAGGTTCACAATCATATGAAATATAAAGATATTTCATAGAAATTTTTATCAGGATAAATAACATTCAGTTAAACTTTAAACCTCTTAAAAAAAGGGTAATATCTATTTAAGTCTATTAAACTTACAGTGCCATTTTTGCCAACTGCTGCATTATCCAGGTAAATATATCCACCAATTATGTTTAACTGGACTCGCAAAAGAACAACCAGCATACAAGTACTGTATACAGCCACGATACTTCTTGTGAAACCTTCACAGAGAAGAGAAAACCATTTGGTACTGTTATTAAAACACAAACGTTTAAAATCACAAATGATCCCTATGGTTATTTTTTCATAGCATGACTTTAAAAACATTTGTAACTGTTTCAAGTACAAAAATATACATATTCAAAATATTTCATAATTAGTCTATCTCCTTACAACTTGTTTAATGTAAATTAGGTGTGATGTCTTAATTGAAACAATAACCAATAAAAATATATTGAGTAAAAGAGGTAAATATTATTAGCTTAGAAAGGAAAACAAGGAAGGTCTGGGAAGCACTAAGATTTGCAGCCTCAGAACTGTGAGTTATCTAGGATGCCAGATAGAGTAAGAGAAGAGGGTTGAGTATGGAAGTACTAGCCTTCGGTGGTAAGTAAAGGAGGATGAGCCCATGTCAGGACATGAGGAAGGTAGAGAAAAACAGGGGGAAACCCTAGAAAGTAGGCTTCTCAGCAGCCTGGGACAGACTGTTCAAAACAGAGGCGAGAGCAAGGTGTCAACTGTTGCCAAGAGGTCTAGCAGGAGGAAAACGTCCAGTGGATTTAGCAACACAGAACTTACTACTGATGCCTGTGAGATCCGCTTGGGTAGAGACACAGGAGTGGCAGCCAGGCTGTAGTGTATCAAAGAGTGAGTGGGAATGAAGAAGAGAAGAAAGGGAATGTGGAAAGAGTGTGAGAAGTGCAACAGTTGAAAGGAAATATAGGGTAAAAGACAGGTTTGTTTTCAAATAGGGAAAGCTTCAGCATCATTCAGTTGATAAGGATTAGTTGAGTGGATGGGATGAATGGATGGGAAAACAGGAATAATTCGTAGTACAGTAGTATAAATCAGACATAAGTAGATATGTAGGTTCCAGGGCAGTTCTTTATTTCAACATTTTATCACTAATTAAAGTTTGCATACACTATCAAAGTATTACTATCTGCGTTGAAGCAATAAGTTCCTTTAAAGTACAGTATAAGAGATATCACTACCTAATATAGGCATACGTAGTCTAGGACAATTTTACCTATCATTATCATAACAATAATAATAGCGCTACCACTAATATTTACTGAGTATTTTCTATAATCAGACATTGATCTACTTGCTTTATGAGTATTATTTTATTAAATCTAACAACAATTCTATGAGGCAGGTAAAGAGTCATCCACATAATACAAAAATTTCCCTTTATAAATATTTTAAGAATTTGCCATCACACAGAGTATGCAGGCTTACTTATTATCTTCAGATCCTCCCATATTTCTAGCTTGTTTGAAGGCCTAAAGAAAAATATCAGAAAAAATAAAAATTATAATCTAATCTAATAGAAAACTTTGAACTTTATAAATCTGTATAAAAACAATACAGGATAACTGCAGAAAACAAAGCCCACAAAATACAGTAAAAAACTTTTGTAATTCAAGGAACTAATAATAACAACCATTTTCACTGGTATATATCCTTTTAGTCTTTTTCCTCTTTCTGACAATTATGTATACCTACATTATAAAATCATATAGCAAAAGCAGGAAAAATGTTTCTTTCCCTTATTTACTATTTTACAAATAATGACGTGAGTCCTGTAATCCTTCAAAGGTAAATGAGGTGTTCTTTGTTTTAATGTATCATTATGAACACATGAATTTACATATATACTTGATATATTTCAATCCATTGCAGTTATTATCCCTATTGATGTTCAAATTGCCCATCTTTGACCATTGGAGGACTATTTAAACTGGCTCCTGAATACTTTTGATTTGAATAATCTCTTATTAGTCTTTGATAGCTTCCACACTTTCTAACACGAAAAGTTGTTCTGGGTTCATTTTGTTCAATTCTTGCTGCAGACTTGAAATCACCCATTTCTCCAATAGTTCTAGTTCCTTGGAGTGGGAAATGGTAGTTACAGTATGAAACCTTTGATTAAGGATGTTTATTGCTACTGCGTAGATCATTATTTCTAAGACTTTTTGGTGGACAAAACTAGAAAATATGTATGTGTATTTATTTATATGTACATATATTCAGAGAGAAAATACATCATGAACTCATAATGATACTTCTAATTCAAAATTAAGCCCACAAGATTTGTAACTTAATCTCATTGATCCTACATCTGTATTTCTTTTTGCCTACACTAGAAATCAGTGGGAACAACATTATTAATACGCTTCATCCCTCACTCCATGCACAACGGTCTCAGAATAACAATAGTGATACTGAAAACAATTTAGGTTTTTGTTTTTCTAATTCTTTGTGTGCAAAGAGTATATACATCCCACTAAGGATACAGTGTCAAATTTCTGTTTTAAAGTCATTTGGCATAGTTTCTTTCTTTGAAGATACACTTTATGTTTAGGTTAATTTGATTATTGTACTCTCAATTTTTAGAAATTGCTTTTTAAATACTAAACATAGTTTTATAATTATGTGAAATATTTATATGATTCCAAAGTCAAATTTATACAACAGTATATTCAAGGCAGTCTGTTCCTATGCCACTTTATTCTTTCCCTTCTTCATAGGTGACTATTTAAAAAATGCTTTAACTTTCCATTGTCATGCTTGCCTCCTCAGATAAATGGAAGCATACTATACACATTTTTCCTTACCGTTTTTTAAAATATAAAGATATATTCTGTGGAGATCATTCTATAGTAATATATAGATAGTACTTTTTTTTTTTCTTTTAACCTCAACATAGTACACCATTGTGTGCATGTGCTATGTGGATGTAGTTTAGTGCTTTTCAAACCCCAATGTCAAAAGATAAGTTTTTCTTTTTTCTTTCCAATCTGTCACAAACCAATACTTTTGTAAAATGCAATGAAAATAAATTACTAGAAAAATGAAATAAAAAACCACATATATATACAAAATACAATCCCATATTTTTATTACATCCAGACATAAATTTGCATTTCAATAAGAAATTGAGTTACCATTACAATTGTCAGATATTACTAGCTTCTCAACTTTCTTTGCCAATTAACAGACTCTAGAGTTTTGGTCTTCCCTTTCCTAGATAACACGGGTTTAGATGATGTGTGGAGTAAATCCTGCAAGGTACTGCTGTAGCCTTAACCTAATCTAATGTTCAGGCCTCATGGAGGAATACCACATTTATTCTGATTAAACTGGGAATCAACCACAATTCAAGGGTGAGGTATTTTAACACAAATAAATCACATCTTCTTTTGAATGCCACCTTAGAAAATTTTCATTTTAATTCTTATAGAAATTCTAAATGAAACGATGAGAAAACAGTGGATCCAAAAATTTCAGTTAGGAAGTGCTTAGTAGCAGCAATTTGTGGAAGGGCAAATTAGGATATCTGAATTGAAACTGTATTTGTTGAAACTATATTTTATTTTGGGTGACGCTGGTGGGAGAAACAGAGTTATAGCCACCCAGGACATTTCTTCCTGTTGACACTCACCATGATTAGTGTTAATTATCTACCTTATTATCTACCTTAAAAGTAGATTTTAAAATACTGATGTTATCTTTTTTAAAAATTCCAGGGCTGACCAGTTGGCTCAGTTGGTTACAGCATGGTGTTAAAACACCAAGGTCAAGGGTTTGGATCCCTGCTCTAGGCTAGCCACCAACAAACCAAAAAACCAAAACGAAAAAATCTGTAAAAAATTCCTAATTCCAAATCTATGTAGAGGAATGGGGAAAAGCACATTCTACGCAAAGATTCCTTTCAATGATTGCCTGATGGATATCGACTCCAAGTTAAATATAACCAGACTCTTAATGTTGCTAAAATATCTGTTTAAGAATTAAACTAATCCTTTCAAAGTTTCTACCTCTCTTGTGATGGTGTTTAAGATTTTTTTTCCCACCAAAACTTCATTATCATTATCAATCTTCAATAAGAATGTCAAGTACTTAAAACAGTGATGGCTGTTTATTTGCTATTATGAAACTAACAAAAGAAGACTATCAAATCATTTATTTATTTCTGATTAGTTATTATCAGAATTGGTTTAGAGAGAAAACTAACTTGCTCAACAGGCTTACCTGAAATCAGCGTCTCATATAAAACTAATATAAAAGCAGCCATAAAACTGGAGCCTTATTTACTCACACTTTGCAAGGGCTCAAGCACCACCTTATGCAAATATTTTCAAATGGACATTCTCCCCCTTCCCAAATTGCAAATAGTACTTTCAAATCAAAAGAAAGGCAAAAAAAAAAAAAAAAACATTGAGATATTTACAGAGGAAACAGTAAATGAGGAAGACAGTGGCCCATCTTAAGTTCTCATAATTTAAGAAATTCTCCTCCCTGTGTATTGAGTAAGAAAAGAGGAATCACACCTTTTCTTTAAAGATGTCATGGGGCCGGCCTGGTGGCGCAGTGGATAAGTGCGCCGCTTGGGAAGCGTGGCGGCGCTCCCGCCCGAGAGTTCGGATCCCACATACAGACCGGTTCCCGCTCACTGGCTGAGCGAGGCGTGGGAGCAACACCGAGGGTTGCGGTCCCGTTGCCGGTCCCTGGTCTGGTATGGGGGCAACACTGAGGGTTGCGATCCGTTGCCGGACACGGAAAAAGACAAAAGACAAAAGACAAAAAAAAAAAAAAAAAAGCTGTCCAGGATTATGCATCAAAATTAATCCTTTTTTTTTCTTTCCTATACTCCTACATTTTACTTTTACTTTTTACCACAGCACTAAACATAACGTGTTGTGAATTGTGATAATTTGTTAAGTTTACTTCCTCTTTTGGATGACAAGGTCTTGGAGGGAAAGGGGCCTTATCTTATTATCCTGAATCCCCCAAAGCACATGGAACATATGGCCTTGCAGGAAACAGAGATTCACTGAGAAGGAAGAATGCTACCACGTCTATTATGTCTGTTATCATGTTGCTTTTGTAAAAGTGCTATTCACTTATTTTGTCTTGCCTTTCCAATAAGACTAAAACTTAAGGCAATTAAAATTTATTACTTTTCTGTTCCCTACTTATGCATATACAGGTGGTAATTAAGTATTTATTTGACCAACAGCAATCTGCTTATATGTTTCTTCATGTAATGATGTAAACTATTCTTAAACTAAACTTTATATCTGTAAGTAGGAGGGAAAATCTGTCACCCTCCAAGAATGATGAAATTAAGGGGAAAAACCCTTATCACTAGCATTATACTTTAATCACATAAAATAAACTCAAATACACAAATCCAATGTTATTTTGGCAAGTATTCTCTGAATATAGAAAATGTTTTCGAAGACATTTCCCAGTTTATTATTTAACATGAGCACTAAATTCCTATTGCAAAATGGAGATGATAATATCTGCCTCACAGGGAGATTGTGAAAATTAAATGGGAGCATGTGTGGAAGGTACCTAGCACCAGGCCTGGCACAGAGAGTCACTCTGGAAATAGCATTTCCTTCCCCCTTGCTATTTGGAGGGTGATTACAAGGCAAGTGATTATTTCAGTAAGACCATAATGATTAAAATGTATTTAGTAGGTTAATAGGGCTGGCGGTTAGCTCACTTGGTTAGAACATGGTGTTGGTAACACCAGGGTGGTGGGAGCAGGGAGGGCCAGCTACAAACAAAGCAAAACAAAGAAACAAAAAAGTTCTAAAGTTATTTAGTGAAACCATCCCTGCTACTCACTCCGCTCTGCCCCTGACATTTTGTTCATTAAAATAAGAAGCCATTTCCTTCAGGAAGTCTTCTCAAACTAACACAGCATCATACCAAATTGCAACACCCTAACAAATACCAAACTCCATATATAAGGTTATATATGTGAAAGTGCTTTGTAAACAGTAAACTGTCATGGTAATGTACATTATTAGTATATGCTCATGTTATCTTTGTACTTCATTTTTTTAGTAACTTAAAATATAACTTCACATGCCTTATTTATTTAAAATGTATGTTCACATGCCTTATATATTACACTGCAAACTCTTTAAGATGCAAAATATTTAAGATAACTTTGTCAGCTTCATAGTATCTGGTTCAGGAGCACATTCCATAAACACTCAGTAACTAAATTTCTGAATAATGTCAAAGTGATATAAGATCTATTTATATGAAAAACAATACATGCTAATATTGCTTTGTGCAACAAGGTAAAGCATAAATAAATGGACAAAATTAAAATGGATTCAATGATACAGTCAGTTAATATTTTTTTCTAATTGAGCCTACATATTATAAGCTTCAATTAGAAACAAAAATAAGGAAACAAAGACTTTTGAAAAGTATATCAGTTCATTCTATAAACTTTAAGCACAGTGCATAAACAAAAAATGCTGTAACTGGCATTTACCTGTTTTTTAGCAGAGCTGTGAGGCTCTCAGAATTGAGTTGCTGCATTAAGGCCTCTCTCAGTGTTGGAAGCATGGACAGAACTGTAATACAAACGAAAATGAAAAAGGTCACAAGTCATATGACTGCTCTCATTGACAAACACGTTGTTTTAGGTCATATGATAGGGTTAGCAACTAGATAAAGAATTCAAATTATTACTATTAATAATACAAAACTATTATATACAAATAAATCATTTATCTGCTTATGTTAAGCAAACAAAATTACACATACACTATGATCACAGAAATTTAAACAAGTACACACAGAAGAAAGAATAGAAAGAATAATTCCCGATGTTAACAGTAGTGGTCTTTGGGCTATGGATTACGAATAATTCTTTTTCTCTTCTTTTCTGTACTCTCCAAATTTTTTACAATAAATGTTTACTTCAAAAGATCAAAAGCAATCAGCTATACTTTTAGCTTCATACTTTATTTCTAATTAAAAAAATATTTATTAAATACTACAAAGCAGTAAGCACTTACTATAACCTAGACAAAAAATGCATTAGGTTAGGAATTAAGAGCTGCTGAATTTTAGTTTTGGCTTTGCAATGCTTATTGCTTGCCTGTTACTCCCGGGAACAATATAAAGCTAAAATGAGATATAGTACTCTATGGAAAAAAGACTGCACTTAATTTTTAGGAGTTACTTTATTTATGGCTCTATACGTAATATAAGAGATGTTGGAGAAACACACACATACAAATTTAAAATGAGTTTCTAACACTAAGTAAAAATAACAAAGTGAAAAAACATCAAAAGATAGCAAACACCACATTCTAAAAAGGAAAACTTTAGTGTACAATTTTTACTTCCTGACTAGGCAAGACATTAATTACAAAATACATATTACTATTTTTCTTTAGAAAATTCAGATTTTAATCTACTCAACATTTGTTTCATTGCTGCACTTGGTAGCTTCGGCATATTTCCTCAAGTTATATGTTTAAATCACCTAAGTTAAAAAAAAAAAATCACCTAAGTTATTTTAGACCAATATCTAATGTAGCAGTTCAGAGTTAATGTAGAAGGTGACTTATCTCTTAGTGTACTTGGAGTGTATATATCTAGTCCAAATGTAGTATGTTATCTTACAAAGGAAAAAGCAAGGCTAGAGACCTACATTCAGAAAATGGAGTTAGTGAGGAATTGGTTTAAAGATTATGTGGAATAATGACATGATTTGAGAGGAGTCTCTTCTATAATTCTCCTGAGAGATAAAAGTTTATTTCTTTCAACCAAAGCCTATTCAACCAAAGACAAGTCTATTCTTGTCTAGCCATCTGTATTAACATTGAACAAATATGTTTCTCTATCCAGTTGAATATAGCACTCATATCTTCCTTTAGCCATCTGGTCTCTTTGCTAAAGATTCCCAATCCAGCCACAAATCATGGGATTTCACCAGCCTTATATTTGTGTGATCTTGTTACTTAATGTCTCTGTGCCTCAGCCTGTAATCTGTACATTGATGATAACACAGGATCCACCTTATAGAATTACTGTAAGGACTGAGACATATAAAATAGTTAGAACAGTTCTTCTTTGCATATGGAAACGCTCAGTGTCATCTCTTAGCATCTTAATAACACGCGAGAGGCGGAAATAGACCAGCACTCTGACTACTGCAGAATATGCTGTGACCTTTTGATCTGAACCACACACTTTATTACTGTCGCTTGAGATTAAATTAGTTTTTCTGAAAGTCACAGTCCTTATTCATAACATGTTTATGCTCAACTAGAATTCCCAATCCTTACTCATATATCCTGCTTCCAAGCAAGCTTGATAATTTTTTATCTGTACAACTGACTTTTACTGCAGAACAATTCATCTATCTCAGTCTAACACCTAAATTGAAAATTCATTTGTGGTGTCAGCTATGTGTCCAAGCATCGTGTTATGTGTAAATTTAATAAGCATGCTTCCTAAATTTTTATTAAAATCATAAAGATGATAAAGCTAAGGGCAGGGTACAGAAGCATTCCATTAGATGCTGTCTTTTAAGTTGAGGTCAACTTCCTACATAAGAAAACTAAGTATATTTGCCCAAAAGTACTAAATTTTTCTAGTATATCCATTACATCTTATCCAAAAGGATAGAAATTTAATCATATTATTTGGACGTATTATCAACGCATACCAGAAAGCTAATTTGGAAAAACTTTCAGTGAACCTATATTTTGGCTCCTAGTGATCACCATCTTTTACTGTAAATTGCCTATAGTCAGTTATTTGTTCATCTGACGGTTGTGATAATCATAGAAATGTGCAGCCCATATATTCTGCTGGGAGGAGCATAGTTAACTGACAGCCTCAGCTGCCACCCATCTGAATCCATTACCATGTTTGCACTGCTCCCAGCCAATGCCAGTGCTTGGGTAGGGACATGAAAACAGGCCCATTCCTGTGGGTCTCCTCTACCAGGGAACTTTGGCTTGCACAGTCCCATTGGCTTGCCAAAATTTTTTTAGAACGTGCTGTACTATGAGACTCTTCTTACCTAATATTCCTTCCTTCCTTCCCCCTGCACTGTCAGACCTGCATTGTGATCTACAGGCTTTCCTTGCCTACTTCTGCCCCCTGCCCCTCCTTTTATTTTTCACAGGTATTTTCCTCAGTAGATCCCTTGCACCTCTAATCCCATCCTAGCATCCAAACCAAACTAACACAAAAGTCTATGTCAGACTGAGATGTATTTTGAGACTCCAGTGGCTAATCTTTTCTGTTTTCCAAAAATATGAATAATAACAAAAAAATGAACCATTCCTATTCTCTAGAAATTCATTAAAATGAATTTTTGATGATTACTATTTGCTTTATAGAATGAAGATATTTTCCTGAGTATTATTACTTCAAATACTAAAAACCATCCTCCAGCTGTAACTTTGGATGTGCTTCTTAATCTTGATTTCAGCCTCAAGTAAAATGAAGCAAATGAACTAATAATACAGTCCCTTAAACTCTCAAAAAAAAAAACAAAAAAAAAACAAAACTAAAATTCTACTTTAAAAATTGAATAAGGAAAACTTACCTATATAAATTCTTCCTAAATTAATTGTTCTTGGAAGAGATGTTAGAGAAAAGATTCAACTTTAAATAATAAAAAAGAAAAACAGGTTTGACATGGGTTTGAGAATTCTTCAAGGAGTTATACCAATTGGAACATAATACCTTGTTCTGCAAGGTATGGGCAGATTGATTATGTTATGGCATTCTCTCAGGAGGTTTCCACCTCTGGAGGTTAACTTATTACCACTAATTAACACTGACTGAGGTATACAATTGTGCAAACTTACAGATCTGTAGTTGCCCACTATAAATTTAGCAAACTTATGACTCTCTACTATAAACTGTAAGACCCAATGGGATCAGGTCTACTTCTGCAGCCTTGTTTCCTATTGCTTTTCCATCGCTCATTCCACTCTAGCTACATGGCCTTGTTGCTGTTTCTTCAATGTCCCAAGCTTGTTCCCACCTCAGGCATTCCGCATGGCTCCCTCCACTGTACCATTTGTTTTCTCCTCAAATAAGCCTGATCTTACTGATCTCTCCTGATCACCCCATCTTGAAGAGCATCCCTACCCTCACACAGCTTTATTCTCCTTATAGCAGCCATCACTGTGTAAAGTTATCTTTTCTTCTTACTAAAATATAAACTACAAACGTCAGGGAATTTTTTTATTGTTTGCCTCCTGCTTCCCCAGTGCTGAGGGTACCACAGTATTTGCTGAACGAATAAAATGAATGAACAAGTATTTATACTGATTTTTTAAAATTCAGATTACAGTGATGTATTTCAATTAAATAATGCAAATACGAGCATACCTCAGAGATATTGAGGGCTCAGTTCTAGATCACTACAATAAAGCAAATATCACAATAAAGCAAGTCACACACATTTTTTTGGTTTCCCAGTGCTTGTAAAAGTTATGTTTATACTATACTATAGCCTATTAAGCGTGCAATAGCATTATCTCTAAAATAATGTACGTACCTTAATTAAAAAATACTTTATTGCTAAAAATGCTAATGACCAACGGAGCCTTGAATGAGTCATAACCTTTTTCCTGCTGGAGGGTCTCACCTTGATGTTGATGGCTGCTGACTGATAAGGGTGGTGGTTGCTGAAGGCTGATGTGGCTGTGGCATTTTCTTACAGTAAGACAACAATGAAGTTTGCCACATAGATTGACTCTTCCTTTCATGAAGATTTCTTGGTAGCATGTGATGCTGTTTGATGGAACTTTATCCGCAGAAGAACTTCTTTCAAAATTAGAGTCGATCCTCTCAAATCCTGTTGTTGCTCTATGAACTAAGTTCATGTAATATTCTAAATCCTGTGTTGTCATTTCTCCAGTATTCACAGCATCTTCACCAGGAGTAGATTCCATCTCAAGAAAACACTTTCTTTGCTCATCCATGAGAAGCAACTCCTCATCCATTCCAAGTTTCATAATGAGATTGCAGCAGTTCAGTCACATCTTCAGGCTCCACTTCTGATTCTAGCTCTCTTGCTATTTCCACCACATCTACAGTGACTTCCTCCACTGAAGTGTTGAATCCCTCAAAGTCATCCATGAGGGTTGGAAACAAATTCTCTCAAACTCCTGTTAATGTGATATTTTGATCTCTTCCAATGAATCATGAGTGTTCTTACTGGCATCTAGAATGGTAAATCCTTTCCAAAGGTTTTTAATTTACTTTGCCCAGATCCATGAGAGGAATCACTATATATATTAGCTATGGCTTTACCAAATTATTTCTCAAGTAATAAGACTTGAAAGTTGAAATGACTGACTCCTTGATCCATTGGCCACAGAATGAATGTTGTATTAGCAGGCATGAAAACAATTCAACTTCTTAGACATCTCCATCAGAGCTCTTGGGTGACTAGGTTCATTGTCAGTGAGCAGTAATATTTGTAAAGGAATCTTTTTTTTCCTAAGCAGTAGGTCTCAACAGTGGGCTTCAAATATTCAGTAAGCCACACTGTGAACAGATGTGCTGTCATTCCGACTTTATTGTCCATTTATAGAGCACAGGCAGAATAGATTTAAAATAATTCCTAAGGGCCCTAGGATTTTCAGAACAGTAAATGAGCATTGGCTTCAACTCAAAGTCACCAGCTGCATTAGCCCCTAACAAGACAGTCAGCCTGATCTTTAAAGCCAGGCATTGACTTTTCTCTAGCTACAAAAGTCCTAGAGGGTACCTTCTTCCAATAGAAGGCTGTTTCATCTACACTGAAAATCTGTTGTTTAGTATAGCCTCTTTCATCAGTGATCTTACCTAGATCTTCTGGATAACTTGTTGCAGCTTCTCTATCAGTACTTTCTGCCTCATCTTGCACTTTTATGTTATGGAGATGGCCTCCTTCCTTAAACCTCATGAACCAACCTCTGCTAGCTTCACATTTTTCTTCTGCAGTTTCCTTCACAGAACTGAAGAAAGTTAGGGACTTGCTTTGGGAGTAGGCTTTGCTCTAAGGGAATGCTGTGGCTGGATTTTTTTTTTTTTTGGCAGCAGGCAGTATAGGGATATAAACCCTTGACCTTCGTGTTATAACACAGCACTCTAACCAGCTGTGCTGACTGGCCAGCCCACTGGTTTGATCTTCTATCCAGGCCATTAAAACTTTCTCCTTATCAGCAACAAGGCTGTTTTGCTTTGTTATCATTTGTGTGTTCACTGGAGTAACACTTTTAATTTCCTTCAACAACTTTTCCTTTGCATTCATAACTTGGCCAACTGTTTGATGCAAGACGCCTAGCTTTTGGCCTATCTTGGCTTTTGACATGCCTTCCTCAATAAGCTTAATCATTTCTAGCTTTTGATTTAAAGTGAGAGATATGCAACTCCTCCTTGCGTTTGAGCACCTAGAGGCCACTGTAGGGTTATTAACTTGCCTAATTTCAATATTGTTGTACTCAGGGAATAGGGGAGCCTGAGGAGAGGGATAAAGACGGGGAACAGCTGGTTGGTGCAGCAGTCAGAACATACTCAACACTTCTCGATTAAGTTCGGTCTTATACGGGTGCAGTTGGCATCCCAAAACAATTACAACAGTAACATCAAAGATCACTGATCACAGATCACCACAACAGATACAATAATAATGAAAAAGTCTGAAATATTGCAAGAATTACCAAAATGTGACATAGAGACACAAAGTGAGCACACGCAGTTGGAAAAATGGTGCCAACAGACTTACTCGAGACAGGGTTACCATAAACATTGTATATAAAAAAAAGAATATTAGCAAAGGGCAATAAAGCAAAGCACAGTAAAACGAGGTATTCCTATACTTGCTAGATTTATAATTCTTTCTTAGCCTATTCCTCTAAATTTGGTCCTGGAAGCATGCAAATGAATACAAATCATCAAACAATTTTATATGTGTATAAATATTTCTCTGTCTTACCTGTCATATTGCAAGTCCTCTGGTTACTTTCAAAATGATATTGTCGTCGTGCCTGGGCAATGTATTCTGCAGCCTCCCTTTCTTGTATTTCTCTGATTTTCTTCTGTCCATATTTCCCCAAGATATATACTCCTACAATCATTTTTTTAAATAATAAGTGTATTAGAGTACTAAAAATTCCAAACGGTATTTTTAACCTGCTTTACTCAATTACAAGGTTTACATTAGTGAAAAGCTAAACATTACAACTTTTTATTATTTACTTTTAAATTTATTTAATTTTATTTTTATTGTAACATAGTTCATCATACATATCTGTGGGGTAGAGTTGAATATCATTACCTCTGTGTAATATGTGACACTCACATCAGGATAATTAGTATACTCAACATTACACAATGTGATTTTTTTTTGTGGCCCTTTACAAATTCCTCCCTTTCCCAGGTTTTCCCTCCCCCTTTCCCATTTCTGGTAACCTCAGTTCTGTTCTCTCCTTTTGAAAGTTTCATGTATTATTGTGATTGTTGTTTCATTCTTTCTTTTTTTGTTTATTTTTTAGCTCCCACTTATGAGTAAGGACATCTGGTATTTCTTTCTATGCCTGGCTTATTTCAGTTAACATGATTTTCTCTAAGTTCAACCATGTTACTGCAAATGGCAGTATTTCATTCTTTTTTATGGCAGAGTAGTATTCCACTGTGTATATATACCACATTTTCCTTATCCAGTCATCCATCAATGAACATTAAGGGTGGGTCCAATTCTTGGCTATTGTAAATATAACTGTGATAAACAAGGGGGTGTGGGTATCCCTTCAACATGATCATTTCCATTCCTTTGGGTATATAGCCAGTAGTGGAATTGCTGGACTGTATGCAGGTTCTATCTGTCGTTGTATGAGGAAACTCCACACTGTTTTCTATAATGGCTGCACCAATTTATAGTCCTACCAACAGTGTGGAAGGGTTTCCCTTTCTCTACATCCTCACTAGCATTTGTTATTCTCTATGTTTTTGATAATAGGTAGTCTAACTGGGGAGATGATATTTCAATGTGGTTTTGATTTGCATTTCCCTGATGCTGAGTGATGGTGAGCATTTTTTCATGTGTCTATTAGCCATTTGTATATCTTCCTTTGAGAAATTCCTATTCAGCTCCTTTGCCCATTTTTTAAATTGGGTTATTTGTTTTTTTTGTTTTGTTTTGTTTTTTTACTGTTAAGCTGTTTGAGTTCCATGTGTACTCTGGATAGTAATCCTTTTTTGGATGCATAATTTGCAAATATTTTCTACCACTCTGTAAGTTGTCTTACAAATTCCAACTTTTTAAAAACCTAAATAAAAGAATTGTATAAGACTGGACTAAGGAGAAGAAGAGCAGCATTTTAGCAGCCAATGACAGAGGAAATAATGAGCACATAGGACTAAGTCTGAGGAAGCAGAAAGGAATTAAATCTAGAAAATACGGTACTGTCTTTAACAGTGAACTGGAGATATTCTAAATGCTCAGCAATAGGGAATTGTTTAAATAAATTATGGACTATCCACACAATGGAATCTTATACAGCTATTAAAAACCACATTGCTAAATAGTTAATGACTCAAAAAATCTGAGTTTAGATTTGTTAGATGATAAAATAAGATCCCAGAAGTTTTGGTTTTTTAATGGAAATAGATAAGTAGATGGGTTTTAACTTCTAATATATAATAAGCAATGATCATTACTGAATGATGAGATAACAGGTGATTTTTTTTCCTCTGTTTGGTTATCTATATTTTCCCTAATTTCTTCAATGAACACAAAATACTTTTTAAAAATATGAGATAGGGCCGGCCCGGTGGCGCACTGGAGAGTGCACTGCTTGGGAGTGTGGCGGCACTCCCGCTGAGGGTTCAGATCCCATGTGGAGACCGGTTCCCACTCACTGGCTGAGTGCGGTGCGGGCGCAACACCGAGGGTTGTGATCCCATTGCCGGTCCCCGGTACGGGCGCGACACTGAGGGTTGCGATCCCATTACCGGTCAGTAAAAAAGACAAAAAAGGAAAAAAAAAATATGAGATAAAGTTTGTAAAAGGAAGTAAAGAAAGGTAGGTGGTCAGGTAGACATCTATTTATTCATTTGTGTGTTAGAAAAATCTCCCTGTCTGAGGAAAGGAGAGAAAATGAAACTTAGACCTTCTAAAAACTAGTAACTTAATTGGAAAAGGGAGGGAGAAGAGGGTACAGAAATTCCTAAATTATAAATGAATTAGAATACTATGGAATAAAAATATAGGTGATGTCATGTGGCCTATAATTTAATGCATTTCAGCATAGACAGTATAATATAAATGTATACATTTTGGTCTCCACCTAAGGGGCAGTCAGTTGTCCTAACTGGGAATGTGAACACTCTTGAGTGGTTAGTTAGCATTTGGTCAAAAGACACACTCAAAGGCTTATGTGCTTCAATTAACCTTTATCTTTGATCGGCACCAAATACTGTATTGATTAGCATAATGAATATCAGAAATAGATTAAACTAGTGGTTTTCAAGATGGCGGACTAGCTAAAACATTTTAGTAATATTTATATGAACTAGAACATATGAATCTAGCAAGTCCTTCACCCTCAGGAATGGCTTAACTTGGGATCCTTAGCTGCTAGTATAGAGGATTCTTAGTCAAATGAGTTAACCAGATGGCCAGCTGAATCCTATAACTAGAATACTGTTGCATTTGCTTCAGGTAAATCTTTCATACATGGTTCTGTGGCAGAATCAAAAAAGGACAGAACTCTGGGACTATTACAGAACAGGTTGTGTTACTGTTTCTCTGCTTGCCCATAGATGTTTCCATGTGTGCCAGAACTTGGTTTTATTATAACCTGGCAGCAAGATTGTAAGGGACATTCTATTGTTCCCTATTGTTCACCTATCTCCAATTGTCTGTGGCCTCCAATATCTATCAAAAAGAACCTAAAGATTGTGCATGACCTAAATAATTGAGTTTGAATTGGTTGTCACAGATGGGGAGGGGACATCCCTCCAGGAACTGCAAAGCGAACACATATCCTGAATTATTTTCACTAACATAGGTGTTCTGGGTGAACTGATATTATATATTCTTAAAAATCATAGTTCAGTAAAAGGGTTTGTGTTAAAAATAATTAGATATAATGTATGATTGCTGTTGCTGTTTGTATGCAAATAAATGTATTATAGTCATGCTTAAAGAACAAATAAAAACTCATATAAGTGGCTTCATGGCTACATTTCCCATAATCCATCTGAAATAAACTGATGATAGTGCCACAAATACCAACAGAATGAAGAAATTGACATATTTCACAAAGTAACCCTTTCATCGGCAACCCAGGCATAACAAGTAGTTGTAAATACATTGCTCATGTCTTATTTGCACAACAGAGTACTGAAAGGTATGTGTAAAATGATTATTATTTCTCAAATTATATTGTAAAAGGAAACACTGAAATGACTCCCTTTGCATAGCTAAAAATTTTTCCAGGATGATAGTAAATCTGATTAGGTATATAGGTTTTCCTAGGGAGAAGGTGCCTTGTTTTCATCAGATTGTTTGACAAATGTATTATATTCTAACTAAAGCTAAAAAGGAACAAACCCTGCTTTCACCTTGATTTTGGACTTCTAACCTTCAGAACTGTGAGATAATGAATTTGTTGCTTAAGCTACCTGGTTTGTGGTAGTTTGTTATGGCAGCCCTAGCAAACTAATATGTGGAATTAGGCTAAAATTGCACACTCCATTATTTTTTCTTGAGTTAGCAATGAAGAATGTTCCTACACAAGGTCTAATTCACCCAGGTTCTCATCCAAAATTCATAAATTCTAATTCTGTCAGATTCATCTTCCTAGGAAAACAAGAATAAGGGCAGAGAATTCATTAGCTATAATATGGAGCTCAGGACTATCTATACACTTGACTGGCAGGCTGAGTTCTGGCCTGGAAGACAGGACATATTGATGGCTGAAGTACCAACTAATTAGGTGATTTTGGGGGAAGTCCCTTCCTCTCTCTGGGTCTAAATTTCTTCATCCGTAAAATAAAAACTGAGATTACATGAGTTCTAAAGTTTCTTTTGTAGCTCTGATTTTATTTATGAATAATAAATACATTTACTAAATACCTCAAAAAATAAATGTTAAATGTTATAGGTTTCCTTCCAGAACATTGCTGGTAAAACAACATATCTTCTAGTCTTTCCACAAGTTGGTTGTTTGAAAACCATCTCTTAGTCTTCGCTTCCTGGATGAACATCTCTGCAATGTAATTATTTTACTAGGAAAATAGTTTCAATAAGAGTTTGAAAATAATTTATTAGCATCATTCCTAATCTAACAGATCATCAAATCCTGCTATTCTGATTCAATTTCGGAAATATTTTCTAAATCTTGCTACTTTTCTATAACCCCTTTACCATTGTCTTCATTTAGATCCTGAATATTATTAATGCTTTTGAAAGGGTTCAACAGCTTCCTAATTCTTTTCTTTTGTTGGTAGTCTCACACCTTTCTAATCTATCTTTTATAGGTAAAGTGATTTTCTTAAATCTAAACCTGACTGTATCACTCCTATGTTTAGAATTCTTCAGCACCCTACTATAATTTATTAACATGGATTCCTTGTTCCAGTTACATCAGAATTACTTGGGGGTATATGTTAAAAATGTGGCCTTTAAGGACATTCCTTGAAAACATCTCTAAATGTCTTGTCTGATGCTGTATCCCCAGTACATAAAACTGATACTCAATGGCAACTTAATAAGTATTTGCTGAAAGAATTAAAGAATTCTTTAATTGCACTCTGAATCAGAATCTGAGAAAAAACATTCTGTTTTTATTAAGCTACTTAAGTGATTCTTATCCATACTAAAGTCTGAAAAGCACTGATTGATACAAAGGATAATGTCCATATTATGTAGAATGGCTTAATAAGGAAGGCCCTTCACAACATCTACTCCAGCTACTTCTCCAGATTCATCTTTTGCCACTTCTCATTTGCTTAGCTATAGTGAAATACACTTTGATTCATCAAAAGCAATGTTTTTGAGCCTCTTGAATAGCTCCTTTTCCTGCTGTGCCCTCTTCTCCTTTGCTAGCTTTACAACTTAACTCAAGTAGAAGTTCTTCCTCTATGAAGCTTTGCCAGACATCTTCATGCTTCTCTCTCATCTATGCACTCTGCTCTACTTTTGTACAATACACTTTCACACTACTTTTGTTTATTTCTACTTCTGCCTTCCAGACTACACCATGAGTTCCTCAAAGCTGGAAACTGTATCTCATTCTTTTGTATTCCCAGACTTAGTACAGTGAGAGTATGCACTTACTGTCATTCAAATGTTTGCTGAATAACAGAATGATGAATGAAAGAATGAATGAATGAATGAATGAATGAATGAAAATGAGGAGGCCAGAGATTACACATTTTCAGATATAAATAATAAGTCAACGTTCTGTGCTTATTAGGAATCGGCAAGGCAATAAATATGAATCTGGTTGCTCTTTGTTCCGCAATGCTTTCTCTTGTGCAATGGTTTTCAAAGTGTGGCATGGCCAACCTTGGGAGTCAAGGACCCTTTCAGGGAATCTGGGGGTCAAAACTGTTTTAGTAATAATACTAAAATGTTATTTTCCTTTTTCCTTTTCATTTTCTCATGAGTGTACAGTGGAGTGACTCTAGAGGCTACATGATATGTTGTATCACAGCTGATCTGAGAGCAGAAAGAGAGATGAGAATCCAACCTTCTTCAGCTAAGCCAAACATTAAAGAGATCTGCAAAATTTGGAACAATGCCACTCTTCTCGCTAATTTTTTGAACTATGTTATTCATACTAATATGTAATCAGTTTTTATTGCTAATTTTAAATGAAATAGCAAATATTTTAAAATTTTTTCTGGGTTTTAATTTCAAATATGGTAATAGACAAAATTTAGAAGGCTCTTTAGGACTCTTAATTTTTAAGAGTATAAAGGGCATCTCAGATCAAATAGTTTGAGAGTCACTGCTGTAGCCCTTTCACAAACTGGTCAAACTGTCCAAATTGACAGCAGTTATCCATCCAAAATTTAGAGAAATAGAAATTTCTACTTAAGAAGGCCAGCAACTCAAAGTTTTACTTAGGTTTTTTTCCACCACTTCTTTGAGCATGCATGTGGATATAATACTCAGCTTTCAAGCCTGTCAAATGTGCCACTTCTTCCATGAAGTTCCTCCTGATTTTTTACATCAACATATGCTATTTTTCAGTTTAATCTGTACAGTTTTTCACATCTCTTATGATTTTGTATTTTAATTATTTGTATACTTGTTTTTCCTTCCTTTCAGACCGTAAAGTCCATAAATGCACAGTGGTTTAGTGTGGAAAGAGAATGTGCTTTGGGGTCTAACACACCTGGGTTTGAATTCCAGCTTCCATGTTACTAACTCTGAGACCCTGGGCAAGTTTCTTAAACTCTTAGTGTTCTAGTTTCCCCATTTCTAAGTAGGAATAACAATAACTGCCCTGTTGTCATCCCCGCTGAATAGAAAGAGCTTAACATAGTGCCCAGCATACGGTGAGCACCCAATAAATGGTAGCTATTACTATCAAAAATCTGTAAATCTTGCATCTCCAACCATATTACCTTTGGCACTACACGCAGTCAAATTTTCTTAGATTTGATTAATTTAACTCTAGCTTGTTATAGGACTTTTCCCATGAAGCAGAAAAAATATCAGGCTCAAACAAATGCCAAGTACGGTCATCTACCCTTTCCTTCTTTCAGACTGACTTCCTTTTTTTGGATATAAAACACTAAAATTATTTTCTCTTTCTGTCTCTATGAACCTTTTTTTTTTTTTTTTTTGCATTCTTCTTAATCTGTAACTGTAAATCTCTCAATAGATTTTTTAAAAATCTATAACTGTTTTTTAAGTACCCCCTTTGCTTCCCCTGGATTATTTCTAATTTACCCTTAGATTATTCCATAAACCTTAGGAGGTATGCTATTCCTTTTGAGGTTGCTAAAGAGAAAATTTTCCTTACTTCAGTAGGGGCAAAAATATTTTCTTCATATTTCTTTCATCACATATATATCTTTAGCCTTTAAAAATAAAATGGGCTCTGTAGGCCTAAGCATAATTTATATATGCATTATATACCAGAGCCTGAAAATATCAGAAAATACATTTTATCTATAAAGGATTTCCCAAAGAAGGTGACTAAAATTTACATATGCTTATTATCGATTTGTGATAGACCTCAGAGTCAATGCAGAACACTATCCTTGCCTCATCAACAGAATTTTATTTCAAACTTTCAAGAAGCACCAAATCTGAATTATTGATTAAGGGTATGGCCAATTTCAAGTTGTTTGGGGAAAACAGAATATAACCTAATAGTAAGAGAAAAGCAGCCAAATTCTTTGGGAATCTTCTGTTCTTGATTTTTAAGTACTTCTGTAACCAAAGCATGTAGTTAGTGATAAAAATATTTCTCAGACACTCAAGTTCTAAAAATTCTCTCAAAGTTAGGAGATTTCATTCTTGTATAATTCACAAGGCTTTTTATTCTCTCCTTCGAATCCCTGAATATTGTAATATGAGTGTCATATGAGGAAAGACAGTCTCACGATTTTTATCTTTTCTATTTCTATATCTCCTCTCAGCCTTTGCAACTCAGTTGTGCCAGCTAGATACGCAATGATTCCAACCTTGAAGAACTTGAGGAAGATTGCACAACATTCAGCAAGCATTTTTCTTACTGCATAGTTTGTATTCTAAAATGGCAGAAACAGCTAAAATACTGATTTATTGTTCTTTGTCCATCTAGTGTATATCTTCCAGTCCTTCGGTACAATTACCCTGTCTTAAGCAATTCAAATTAACTTTAAACACCACCCGAAGTGCAGCCTTTAGGTAACGCTCCTAAAATATTATGAAACTCCAACGAAGGGTGAAAGTTAAAGGTACAGAGTGACAAATAGAAAAGAAGACTCTCACAGGAAAGCAACAGAGGAGAATTAAACAACATGTGTCTGTGAGAGAATGGTGGCTTGAAACAGAAACTTAATTATGGTGGGTTCTGCCAAGGCCCGTGAGAAAAAAGGATAAGCGAGAAACAAGAGTAGGAGGCAGTAACAGGGCAAAGGGCACAGAGAAATTCCCCAATTGCAGAGATGGAAAGAACCTTGGAAGTTTGCCATCCCGCTCCTCATCCGACGGTTCAACGGATCCCCTCTACATATTCCAGACTAGGATCGCTCGGTCTCTCCCTATTTTAGAAGAAAGTCACCTCTCTCCCACCTTTTCCCAATGCCCCTTTCCAAGCACGCTGTCACCCACCTCCGAGGACCGTGCCCAGGAAGATGCATTTCTTTTTGTGACGTTTCAGAAAATTCCACATAGATCTCAACATCTTCAGGCCCTGGGGGTGGACGCCGCCCAGGGGTGAGTGGGTGGTTCACCAGGTAACCGTTTTTTCGACACCTGGCCCGGACAACCCGGCGGGAGCGCCGTGGTCCCTCTCGATGCTCTCCAGAAATCACAAACACGACTTTCCGCAGAGACTGTCACCGGAGCGGGAAGGGGGCGTGGACTAGAGCAGAGCAGCCGTGCTTGCTGCTGCCGCCGCCGCCGCCGCCGCTCACTGGTCCGCAGCACGCAGGTCCGTCCAGAAATCGCTCCCGGTGCCGTGCTATTGGACTCCCCCCGGAAACGAAGGTCCGCGCCCGCCGCGTTCCGCTGCCAGCGCTCCGCTGCCAGCGCTCCGCCGCCGCCGCCGCGGCCTCTATCCCTGAGCAGTGGCCCGGGGCGGCATGGAGGCGAAGGCGGTGTCCGCGCTGGGTATAGCCGGCGCGTGCTCGGTGTCGGCGGAGGAGACCGAAAAGTGGATGGAGGAGGCGATGAACATGGTGAGGAGCCCGGGAGGTGGATGCCTCGGTGGCCGGGGACGGGGGAAGGGACTTTGTCTGTCCCTCAACGCTACCTGGGCATTTTGAGCAAACGTCCCGGGCGCGCCGCACCACAATTTTGATGGCGCTCAAATTTTCTGGGTAAACAGCTGGCTTTACTGTCATGAAATTTTCTTGAGCCCATTCCAACAGTGGCTCTGGGGGAAGAAAGGAAAGGAAATAGAAAAAAAGAATTTTGTTTTCATTGGTATGGAGTATACGCCAAACTTACCCCTTCAGCCGCTTGCTGGGCACGTGCTGCCTCCCCTTTCTTTCCCGTGGACACACTTTCAAATCCACAAAGTCACATTATCTTGTGTTTTTGTCCCCTCGGATATATCGAGTAGAAGAAAGCTGAGGATGTTTCTGGTAGAGAACAATATGAAAACAAATCCCTGCACAATCAGCGTTTATCATTCATTCTTTCTACTTGCTCTGTCCTTTTATTTCCTCCCTTCAGGACTGTCCTTTTACTTCTTCCCTTCAGGACTGTTGATTCAGGAGGGCTTTAATCACATTTCTGTGTAATCCAGCCTTCACCTATATTCGTGTGTGCCAGCGAGCTACGTAATAGGGATAAAAGTTTGGCATACATATGTGTGTAAATAGACATAAATACATTTATATATTTATATATGTATTTATGTATACGAATTATATGTATATGTATATATTCACATACATATATGTATTTATATACATGCACACACATAAATATTCGTATATATATATGAAATGCCCTTCAGTTTTTCATTTCTGATACTGCTGTAAAATAATCTTTTTCATACATATTTTTGATTATATTCTTCTATCCATAACTGCCTCTGGTCTCCTATAGTTAACTAATTCCATAATTATTCATTCATTCATTGCACAAATGTTTATTGAGTGCACTATGCTTGGCATTGGGGACTCAACACTGAAGCTAATTTTGCCATGTTCTTCTCTGTTCTCTTACTAAAGTAACCTCTCATATTGTTTCTCCTGCATTGGTTCGCTGTTACAGCCAACTATTTTTCACTTTCTTGTAAGCCAGGATACATTAGAGCATCTATTTTGTTACTTAATCAATGTCCTTTATATTTTGAAAAAAAAAAAAAAAAACTTGTTTCTCATACTTTTTAAGAAGTGACCCACAGTAAAAAATAAATTTTATATTACAACCCAGGGAACACACATATACATATTATTTAAACAAAAGTTTCACAGAGTAGTGCTTACCCTTCCTGTGTAGTTTTCCCAGCATGTATTTCTATTTTGCTGCATTAAAAAAAAAATGCTGGTCATGACCCATTAACTTGATATCATGACCCATTCTTTAAGCTCACATACAAATTTATTTCTTCCATTAAACTTACAGGATGCACAACCTTCTATCTGATGCTTTTAAAAAATTACCGTTTACATATTCCTTTAAAAAATTAATTTATAATTTGTAATATGGATTTATTTGTACTGAACTACTTTTATGTTACTAAATTCTCCAAGTTAGAGACAAGGAGTTTTCATGTGATACCAAATTTCACTCTCTCTCAGTCATTTAATAATAATATGTGCTAGGCAGCTTTTTAACAGTGATGATAAAATAATAAACATGCATGGAGTCTAAAATATCATAGAGGAAGCTGCATTTGTGTCTTTCTATTGGTGAGAGATCTAGAGGGCGGATGATGCCTGAATGCTGGGAAATCAGAATTTGTGGTCACTTCTGTTTATTCTAATGAGTGCTTCTCAAAGTGTTCATGTGTGGAGCTTCCTTAGATGACATTGTAAGAGGTTCTGTCACAGGGGACTCATGGTGGTTTCAAAAACAGCTAAGTTTAATCAGTTATTGAGCTTTTTTGCTTTATATCAGAACTGTGTTTTCTTTCCATCCTTTTATATTTCAGGTATTTATTTTCCTTTAAACATCTTTTGGTCCTGATATCTTGGACCATTTCATCCACCCACCTTTGCACTATTCTCTGTCTAGACTTCTGGACTAAACACTTAAGTCCTTTGACTATCTTTTGGTGTGACCTTGGGCAGATCACTTGATCACCCTAGGGTTTGCTTTCTGCTCTAGAAAATGAGATCATTGAACTCCAAAGAATTTCTAAGATCCCTCTGGCCTTGACATTTTTGTCTCTTAATTGGATTATAAACACCTAAGGGTGTGATTACATAGTTTACCTCCTCCTACACAGGGCTAAGCAGGCCCTTACTTAGCAATTCCTGTTTTGGTTTGGCCTGTACATGTTCTTTCCAGTCCTTAAATAAAGGGAAAAGAAGTACTTGTCATCAATCTTGTGCTTTATTCAACCACCCCCCACTTCCCCAAAGTTTCTTTCCCCAAACAAACTTTAAATCTTAAATTACTTTGAAGAATTACTTCTTCTGAGAAAAGTTTAAGATTAGTTTCAGATCTGCAGGCAGCAAGTTAATCTTTGATTAATTTGTACCAAGGAATTTGAAAGTGAAATGTCCAGTGTTATGTGTAATAGAGAGAATACTAGAATCCTCACAGCATAGTTACAGAGTAAAAATATTTATATGGCCAATACAAGTAACTAGAGTGGCTGACTCTCATGGGACCAGGCAGGCGAATGTAGTCAAGTCATGTAATTTCTGGGTCTCACTTTGTTCCTGTTTATAGTAAAGGGGTTATACTAGAAAATTTCTATCCTGTTTTTCTATTTTAATACAAAAAAGAAAACGAGCCTGGGTTATAAAAGAAAGGAAAACGGTTCTTTAGACAGCTTAAAGTTGAATTTTTTAAAAAGTCATCTAAAGTTAATGAGACTGCAAAAATCAATACAATGCTACCAATTGAACAGGTACAACATTTTTGGAAGGCAACCTAGCATAATATAATTAACAGCCACAAAAAAGTGTTCATATCATTTGACCTAGTCATATGGTTACTTATGGAAATAGTTTAGAAAGATAAAATCAATGATTTTCGTTTCAGTTATGTGTAACAGTGAAAACCAGGATGCATTTCAAACTTTCAATAAAGGGAAATGGTTAATTAAATTATGGTGTATTACTGTGTTTAATAAGGTGCTGTCAAGAAAATCATTATGGGTATTAGGAATAAACATAATTTTAAATGTCACAACTACATGTGATATTTAGCATTAAACTATCAGAATACAAATTATTTTATAATATGCATGTAAGTTTAGACTTTAGCTATGTTCAGATGGGTGTCGACTAGCAAACTAACCTTGACAATTTAACCTTTCAGCCACAGTACCTTCTTCTGTATATGGGAATATAATATCTATCTCACCAGGTTGTATAGATTAAAAGAATGTTTGTGAAGTGCTTAACATAATTTGCTCAATGAATACAAGCTGTTATTTTTATGAAGTGAATGAAGACTAGAGGAGAAAATATAAAAATAGTTAACATGATAAAATTATGGGTGATTTTAAAGAAATTTATCAGTATATTTTTGTAGTAAAAATATAAAAATCTAATTGAAGAGAGAATTAATGAATAAAGCCAAATAAAAAATAATAAAACCGGGCTGGCCCGGTGGCGCACTGGATAGTGCGCCGCTTGGGAAGCGCGGCAGCGCTCCCGCCCGAGGGTTCGGATCCCACATGCAGACCGGTTCCCGCTCACTGGCTGGGCGAGGCGTGGGAGCGGCACCGAGGGTTGCGATCCCGTTGCCGGTCCCCGGTCCGGTGCGGGGGCAACACTGAGGGTTGCGATCCGTTGCCGGACACGGAAAAAGACAAAAGACAAAAAAAAAAAAAAAAATAATAATAAAACCATAAAAGAACCCAGAAGTAAATGAAAGTTAGTATTTATACAATCTTGAAATGGAAGACTCTAAAGTATACCATCAACGGCAGAAAACATAAAAGAAAAATTGACAGGTTTTCATTATATAAATATTGAAAACATCTACATATTTAAAAAGACAGGATACAGGGCCGGCCCCATGCGCACTCGGGAGAGTGCAGTGCTTGGGTGCGCAGCGGCGCTCCCGCCACGGGTTCAGTGCGCTCACTGGCTGAGTGTGGTGTGGGCGACACCAAGCCAAGGGTTGCGATCCCCTTACTGGTCACGAAAAAAAAAAAAAGACAGGATACAAAGTAACAAAACAAACAACAAAGAAAATACTGTATTTGCAATATATATGAAAGGACAGGTTTGATGACTTTAATGTATAATTTATATATGTATTTATGTAACATATAATTTAAATAACATGTAAATACTTTCCAAAGTAATGAGAGAAGATGTATACCCCAATACTGAAATGGTCAAAGGATGTGAACATGATATTTTTGAATGAAATAAGTAACCACCAAATAAGTGAGTAAATATGTAATTTCACTAGTAATAAAACTCAAATTAAAAAGAGATACAATTTTCTGCCTATTAAACTGGCAAAAGTAAAAACTGATAATGCTTGGTGATAGTAAGGGTGTGCATGTGAGAAATTTGGTGGTTGATAGCTGAAAATGGGGCACCCTTTCTAGAAGGCAATTTGGTCATGTACATATTAAAAGCCTTAAAACTGAGCTCATCATTTGACCCTGTCGTGCCCTTTTATTTTTTTCCAAAATAAAATATTTTGTTTTCTTTTTCTGATTATGTAAATAATTCATAGTCATAAGAAATTCAAACTATAAAAAATGTATAACAAATTTTGTAAAAATTACCTAAAAGTCCTACCATCAGAGATAATATTATTAACATTTTGGGAGCATCCTTCCATATATCTCTGTCTGTATGTAAACAGCCATATATAGTTTTGCATAATTGGAATTATATATTCTTTTATTGATTTTTAACACTTTTTTTTTTTTTGCAGTCTTCAGTTTTTTATTTTGGCTTACCATCCTCTCATCCCTAACTGATAGTACTTTTATTGCTGTGGAATGACTACCAAAATAAGACAAAGGATGTGTGTGTGTTCTGAAACTGTATAGATATTGCTGTATTGTCTTCTAGAACCATGC